CATTGGATACAACAAGACATCAAGATACAATGCATATTCTAATTTAAGGTTTTGAAACTTATAAACGGTTATCTTCATGACAAATCATTCCCTGCATCAGTTTAGATAAGTTGTTCATTGCATGTACAGTTTTTGTTTCCAAACCTTAATTGGCGCTAACAATATTACTATGCACTTATATTTTAAATGTGTAAGAAATTCATAGTAACCTTTTTCATGATTTCTAAGCTAGATAAACTTGTTGATTGACATAACATGGCATCCGGTTCTAACAAATGGAAATTTGATATAACAGCTGGTAACGTTATAAGTTATTTATATATTGACGAGACACTTGACGACTTTAAAACGAAAACTACTGCGATTGTTATTTGAGACACGAGTAGAACCACCGACACTCCGTGAACTAGCTAGAAAGCTTCATTTTACAATATACATGTACAATTAATTTGAATCAATGTGTTTTCTTTTAATCACGATAATCACAGTCAAACATTTATTGTTACATACCAATATATTGCTGAGAATTGTTGAATAAGTAAAATTTAGTGTTATCTGAAAATAAAGTTAAGGAACAAAAAGCAACATGAATTATTTTGAAGATTTCCTTTGCAACAATTCAAGTTACAAAGGAAAACATATAAGCGGAAACAGGAAATGAAATTACCATGTGTACGTCACAGACGTGCACCATGCCAGTGAAAGATTGACGTTTGACACTCATTTGAAATTACTTTATAGCAGCACGCCCCCATATCCATGTTAATTTTCATGAACATTTTAGAAATGTATTTAATGGTTAAATATTGTGACAAATCAAGTTATTAACATATTAACATATTGTAATCGCACTTACAATCCAAGAAAGTTACCAAAAAAGTCGTCACATATGCAAAAAAACCCATCTGCGTTAGTAACGCAGTAGAAATCGATATGAAAATAAATAATAAAATACTGCAAAACCAGTTTCAAACCGCACATTTCATGTTAAATATAACTTGGATCTTGAATATTTTTACCTTTCTTTAAATTTTAGTACATTTTTTCTCTATATTGATTTTCTTGAAATATTTTGGCTCATCTGGAGGCGTGCATCTTTAAATTTATAATGTATAATTGTTTTTTTTTAATGTTCTAGGAATCTTATGAACATTTCGTACACGCTGAATGCGATTGTTATATGCTATACATAGAATAACACTCAACATTAATTCGTTTTTGTTTACTTTGAATTTGTTCGTTTTTACTTCCTTCTTAGAACCAAACTTCAGCCATTTAACAATGTTTATTTTCTATAATGATAATTTGCCTTTTTACAGTTCAATTTCCATCCTAACAAGAACCAGATTTTATCAGAATGTTCGGTCGTTTAGTTCCATGACTAAGCGAATATTCTATTCCAGGATCAGCGTTATCAGTAAATATTAACACGGGCAGTGATTGACAGAACAAATTAAATTATGTTGCTCACAAAGTGGACAGCACCAGAACTGATCTAAATTGAAGGAATAAAACACACATATGTATAACAATGTATTAAAATATGTATTAAAATTTAAAATTATTTGCTCTGTTTGATTTTACCATTTTTACTTGTAAAACGATGACACACATTTTAAATGATAATATATCTTGCACGCAGGGAAAAAACGTGCATTAACAGATAAAATCACGCAAGAAGGCGCCGTCGTTGTGCGTTTTTTATTTGATGTACGACGCAAGAACCCTTGTTAAAATTGCTGACTGCAAAGACGACCAAGGTAGTTTCGTTAATTATCAATGACATCACACATTTCACTAGCACGACGTGAAAAGCATTACATCTGCATACGAAAAAAAAAAGATTACCGAACCATACGTATACTTTATTGCAATGCGCTTTTTTACGTACATTAACATCTGCCGAAGCCTTTGGACTGCGTCCACGTGCTCAGCCAGTGCGGTTCGTTTTAGATAACGTATTTCAAGTGAGGTAACTATAATTTCAAACGAGTCATTTTATTTAAAAATTGTTGGGAGATTTGAAGTAACATAAACTGTTGGCAGGATATAGGCATTTATTGAAGCACGTTTTTAGCTCGACTATTCGAAGTATATGGAGAGCTGTCCTACTCGCCCCGGCGTCCGCGTCCAGATTTCAGATTAAAGCTTTGGTGCAGTAAAATATTTTTCACTATAACTTTTTCATTTCTTAAGGTATCAACTTCAAACTTCAAATATATGTTCCTTATCATCAACCACATCTTATGTGATAAGGTTCATAACTCTAGCATCAATATTTTCAGATTTATCACCCCTTGAACTAGAATTTTCCTTAAAAAATATTATTTTTTACTACATTTGTATAACTTTTTTCATTTCTTAAGGTATCAACTTCAAATTTCAAGTATATGTTCCTTATCATCAACCACATCTTATGCGACAAGGTTCATAACTCTAGCACCAATATTTTTTCCAGATTTATCTCCCCTTGAACGACCCTTAAAACTATTTTTACTGTAACTTCTTTATTTCTTAAGCGATCAACTTCTTACTTCAAATATAATTATGTCCCTTATAATCAACCACATCTTATGTGACAAGGTTCATAACTCTTGAAGCAATTCATATTTATCTCCCATTGAACTTATAATTTTCTTTAAGAAAACTTCTTTAATTTTTAAGGTATTATCTTCAAAGTTCAAATATATCTATATTTCTTATCATTACAAGGTCCATAACTCTAGTGTGACTATTTCCAGAATTATTTCCCTTTGAACTTGGAATTTATGTTAACAACCATAAGAAGAAATATATTTATATCATAATTGATTTTGTTTCATAGTTTTGTCTTCCTTACTGCGTCCAATATTTATTTAGTCGAGCTTAGCTGTCTCCTGTGACATCTCTTGTTAAGTCTCGTGAGTACCAGACGAAAAATTTGCATTACAGACGAAAATTTTATATAGCAGTCGAAATATAATTCTATCAAATAACTTAATAAAAACTTTGTGGGACGAAAGCAGATTTATCTTACAAATTGTACGTTTATTGATGATAGGTTATGTCGATATCAGCTACAATTATTATGCCTACGATTTTGTTTTTGCAGCTTTCTTTTCCCTTAAACATCTGTTCTTATTAAACATCTGTTAATTTATTTAACTGATTGATACGTGTCAGTGGGAAAGTAAGCTGGTTATTGTCAGCTTCTTTTTATGAAAGCAAAGTATTGTTTGAAGGTCAATTACGAACATATTAAAATTCTCTGTATAAACAAAAAATGTGTAGAAAGCTTTATTTTAAAAAAAACAGATATATAGAGAGTTATCAGAACCTTTTACACAAATGTCTGTTCACACGCACGCACGCACGCACACACACACACACACACACACACATAAATATATAATGAAAAAAACTTCTCCTCAAGCAAAGAATATCAAATCTCTTCTTAAGAGATTTATTAAACCCTTATATTAAAATTTCAGAAACATGTTGTTATTGCTTATGATGTGTGAATTAATTGAAACTTGTCATTATGTTTAATTACAATGATGACGCTTTATCAACTATTTTATTTTTATTCTATAGTTAACAAATTCCTTTGAAGGTAATGTACTGATAATTTTTTCCTCAATAAACAAGATCATTTCTCAAGTTAATAAGTCCCTTTGATGTGGTGATGTACTAGTGTTTTAACTACAGATATATGTTAATTATTTTAGAAAAAAATGCACTCTTTATCATTCTGATAATATATTAACCAATATTTTTCTGAAAATAAGGAACGGAAAATAATTCATCAGATATTTTTAACTTTAGGGAAATTAAGTGTGGAAATTAACTGAACCCCGCTGTAACCTTGTGTTACCCTTGTCATGAGGGGGTGATAAAGAAGTGTGTTTCTGTGCCATGTTTATGCGCTACCCTGTGGTGTTACTCCACCAGTAAAGCTGAACAGTCGCCATATGACCTCTACTATGTTGGTGCGACGTACATGTACAACATCCAATCACTCCCAAGACAACCCCCACCAACAAAATGATAATAACAAATAAACAAACAATTTAAGAGCCGGTTGAACCGGGTGATGCTCCCCGACTAGGTTTTGTACACAGAAAAGTATATCTTTGTAGTTTCAGAGTTTATGTCCCAGACAAAGTTCAAAGTGTGATAATTCCAAACTTAGACAATGCAGAGTTACTGTTCTTTGCACTGCACTTCTACTCAAGTAGATCTATTTACCGACTTGCGCGCGACACGTCGTCTCAATATGGTGATCATTTCTGTGAAATAATTGTAAAATCCGACTTCAAATAACGAAGTTATGGGCCGGACACAATTTTGCTTCAAGGTCATGCTGTGACCTTGCTTCAAGGTCATGCTGTGACCTTGACCTTCAATGTAGCGACTCAAATGTTGCGCGCGACACGTCGTCTTCATATGGTTATCATTTCTGTGAAACTGTTGTAAAATCCGACTTAAAATAACGAAGTTATGGGCTGGACACTATTTCAAGGTCAAGCTGTGACTTTGACCTCAAATAATGACCCAAGTGTTGCGCCCGACTCGTCGTCTCAATATGGTGATCATTTCTGTGAAATAGTTGTAAAATCCGTCTTCAAATGACGAAGTTATGGGCTGGACACGATTTTGCTGCTAGGTCATGCTGTGACCGTGACCGTTAGGTTGCGACCTTTAATGTTGCGCGTAATACACGTCGTCTCAATATGGTGAACATTTCTGTGAAATAGTTGTAAAATCTGACTTCAAATAAAAAAGTTATGGGCCAGACACGATTTTGCTTCAAGGTCATGCTGTGACATTTCGTCTCAATATGGTGATCATTTATGTGAAATACATGTTGTTGTAAAATCGGACTTCAAATGACACATTTGGGACGTACGTACATAGTGGTCGAGATGTTGTAGGACGAATCCCGTTACATATCTTGAATATCAATAGAACTGTCAGACCTAAACACATGTGACATGTAAACGTCTGTATGATACAGACAACTGAAAGTAAGCATGATTTAACGTTGTAGTGAATACAACAGATAGAGTTTTTAATTCGTTTACAGTTTCTCTCCAGTCCTTCATAGTGGGTTACTATTTGGAGACAATTCGGTGGTCTCAGATATCGGCCAATTTCCATACTGATACAGTCTGGGATTTCGAGCCATTTCGGCCCAAAGACGTATCCACAGGAATCTGACATTAGCCCGGCCCCCCCGAAGGCCCTACTACAACCCATAAAAAATATCAATGGAAGTTGATTTGCACAATAAAAATTCATAAATAAAAAACAATATTCTCACTGTATGGGGATATAATGAAAATCGTCGAAACGTGTCAGAATTATATCCCCATACTATAATACTGTGGACGTATCGGCAAGACGTTTCGGCCCCACTTTATTTTCAAATCTTATCACTTTTCTATAGCAAGAACATAGCATATATAACTTGGTTTTAGTTTTTTCATTCACTTTCATAACATCTAGCATTTCAGGCATATTATGTTATACCCCCTGGCGTCCGTCCGTCTGTCCGTTCTAGGGGTGTGGATCTTCGGATAGTGACGATCCGATCCACGATTCAGCACTTATGATTCACAAATCGAACCACAAATCTTTTGTTATCAAGACACCCATAAAAACATGTACATTAGTTCTAAAAACATGTTCATTTAAAAAATAATATTTAACATTAAACATATATGCAACCAGGTTATGGTTTTATTCTTTGGATGAGTATTATTGTTTTGTTTTTTGAAACCAATTACTTCCTAGCTCGGCATCATGGTACATGGTCTTTAACCTGCAAATTGTATTTAGCAGGTCTAAGATTTCATGATATTTACGGACAGTCTGTAAATTTTTGGACGATCCATAATTTTATAGATTTTTTTGTCTGTAAATTTACAGACCTTAAGTTAGTAGAAGTGGCATTAAAATTTAAAACCGCAGGTTAAAATGAATAAGGTTAGGTATTATATGATTAAATGTAACAGTATGCTAAGATTCAGAACAGTTTGATGACTTTCAATTTTCACTTTTAACAAAAATTTCAAAATCATCATACAAAGATGAAACCCACCCCATTACCTTTGTAAATATAAACAATCAATAAAACAACTTGTCTTAAGCTGCGGATTTTATTGTAAAACTAAAAACAGCAAATTTCACATTGAATATCTGTAAATTTATGGATTGAAAAATCTTTAAATTTCTAGACTGTCCATAAATTTACGGACAGTCCATAAATATCATGAAATCCTAGACCTGTTTAGGTAAACTTCCCATAATTTATACTCAAATTGTATTTTTCTCGACTTTTAGTGTGTGAGAAACCGTAAATGTATTATATATAAACAAATAAGATCGCTATCCACCATCTCTGGGCTTACGAATATTCAAACTCGATTTTTGTGCCCCCACGTTTGTGGCAGGTATTTAGATTTACCCTTGTCCGTCCATCCTTCTGTCCGTCCGTTCACTTTTGTGTCGCACGTAACTCAAAAAGTATATGACCTAGAGTCATGAAACTTTACAGGAATGTTGATCAGCATGTGTAGTTGTGCACCTGGGTATTTTCGTCTGGATATTTTTAGTATTTTTGGAGTTATTGCCCTTGACTTAGTAAAATTTTGCAATTTTCAACTTGTGTCGCACGTAACTCAAAAAGTATTTGACCTAGAGTCATGAAACTTTACAGGAATGTTGATCAGCATGTGTAGTTGTGCACCTGGGTATTTTCGTCTGGATATTTTTAGTATTTTCAGAGTTATTGCCCTTGACTTAGTAAAATTTTGCAATTTTCAACATGTGTCGCACGTAACTCAAAAAGTATTTGACCTAGGGTCATGTAACTTTACAGGAATATTGATCAGCATTTGCAGTTGTGCACCAGGTATTTTTGTCTGGATTTATTTAGTATTTTTAGAGTTATTGCCCTTCACTTAGAATTTTTTTGCAATTTTCAACTTGTGTCGCAAGTTACTCAAAAAGGATTTGACATAGTCATTAAACCTTATGGGCAGGTTGCTCGGCATATTTAGATTTGCACCTGGGGTTTCGTTTGTCAATTTATCCAGTATTTGTAGAGTTATTTCCCTTGACTTAGTAAAAAGATTGACAGAACAGTGGCGCGGTGGGGGCACCCGTGTCCTATGGACACATTTCTAGTTCACTTTGATTCGTGATTATCCTAGTACTTGGATACTCTCCCCAGCCCTAGCTAGCTAGTCCGTTCGTCCGTTAGCAATTTGGTTTCCAGAGAATACCTTAAGTTCCATTTGGCCCACAGTATTCAAACTTCATAGGATGATTGCCCATATTGGGTAGAAGACCCCTATTGATTTTGGGCTCACAAGGTCAAGGTCACTATTAGCTTAATACTGAAAATGGTTTCTGGAGCATAACTTAAGTTCCATTTGGCCCACAGTCTTCAAACTTCATAGGATGATTGTCCATATTGGGTAGAAGACCCCTATTGATTTTGGGGTCACAAGGTCAAGGTCACTATTGCCCTAACTCTGAAAATGGTTTCCGGAGCATAACTTAAGTTCTATTTGGTCCACAGTATTCAAACAGTTGAAACTTCATAGGATGATTGTCCATATTGGGTAGAAGACCCCTATTGATTTTGGGGTCACAAGGTCTAAGGTCACTTTTACCTTAAAACTGAAAATGGTTTCCGGAGCATAACTTAAGTTCCATTTGGCCCACAATATTCAAACTTAATAGGATGATTGTCCATATTGGGTAGAAGACCCCTATTGATTTTGGGGTCACAAGGTCAAAGGTCACTTTTACCTTAAAACTGAAAATGGTTTCCGGAGCATAACTTAAGTTCCATTTGGCCCACAATATTCAAACTTAATAGGATTATTGTCCATATAGGGGAGTAGAAGACCCCTATTATTTTTGGGGTCACTAGGTCAAAGGTCAAGGTTACTATTACCTTAAAACTGAAAACAGTTTCTGCTCAATAACTTAAGTATTAATCAACCTACAGGTCAGGGTCACATTGATCTTTACTCTGAAAATTGTGGTTTCTGGAGCATAATTACAATTTCATGCTGGTGCTTTGAAAACAGCAACTGTATATATATGAAGGCTCTTCAGCTATAAAGGAGGATTGCTTTTTGAAGGAGGTAATACTGTATTAAATTACCATGTCTTACAAATGTTTCATCCTTACTGATAAAAAACAAACACTTTCGGGCATATAATGCTCCGCCTAGCGGTGCTCTTGTTATCTAAAGAATTAAAGTGTCATAACTGTTTAATTGTAATTAAATTAATTGTTGTAAACTAATCAATCAAGCAATATACTATAGTAGGGCCGAAACGTTTTACAGAAAAGGGCCGAAACGTCAAGAGGCCGATTTTGTCCCACTGGGGCCGATTTGATTTGGGGCCGAAACGTCCTGTTTGCGATATTGGCATACCACTGGCATTAGAGCTGCAACAGTGTTCAAGTTGCTGGCAGTTATTAATTTTGGTGATATAGATAGATAAACACATGCTTCAATTTGTTGATACATAATAAAATAAGCACCAAAACAACTACGTTTTCGCTCTTAGTTCCTTTCTGTACATAGAACGTTAATTTTATGGTTTGGATGAAAAGACAACTGTTGAACAATATAAAATGAATTTTATGGTTTAAATGATTGTAGGGAAAAGACATTGAAGCTTTGGTGCCAGTGTGGCATGCAAGTAGTTTCCATACTAAAATCCTAGTTGCTTTAAAACTATTTCTTACATGCAAACTCCACAAAAATATGATTGTTAGGCATAAACTGATAAATATTTGGCTCGTTACACAATTTATGGGACTAAAGTAATTCAGACTTCTACACATATTTGACTGCCATAAATAAATTTGTAAAACACAGAAATTTTGCAGTGAGTGCACATACTTTTTAAATGTAACAAACTGGGGCATCTGTGGTTAAGGTCGATAATTGACCTACACTGTGTCATTGTGACGTAAAACCCAATCAAGTAACAATCTGAACTTTTATGTAAAATCAACTAAAATAGAGATAAAAATGATGGCCTTTTCACTTTTAATAAAAATATAAAGGTTTTAATGGATATTCAACAATTCTCATAAGAGTTATACTGACAAGCAGTTTTCACATAAATTTGCTTACACAACTTACTTCTTAGGTCTGCTATTTAAGGCATACCATGGCCCCAAAACCTACACTTGACCATTGATATAGTAATATTTATTATTAGTAAACAGCCAACAATTTTTTGGAAGGGAAAAATTTATTTTCCCTTTTAAATTGTTTTAAATTCTTTTTCATTTTTAAACTTTTTTCTTTTGAAAATTGTGAAAACTACAAGGGGTTGTTTCCCTTTTTGGGGAGCTTTCACCTGGTTTAAACCCCGGTTTCCCTTTTTTAAAAATTTGGGTTTAAATTTTTATTTGAATCAGTTTTATATTTAAACCACTTTAAAAGATTAGATGTTCGGTTTTATGACAAAATTAAAAAGGAACTATATGATAAAGGGGTAATTTTGGTTGTAAGGATCCCTTTTATTTTTCAAAACATAGAATAAGCATAAATTATGAGGTCTGATATGGGGTACAAAATTACCCATTATTTGTTATGAAAAGAACTTAGAAGTAGTTTTCATACATAAAATATAACCCATTGTGATTATATATCAGGGTCCAACATTAACAGGATCCTGGGAAAAATACTAATTTTAGTCACCTTAACATAAATATTCAGTCTTCATTGTTTAGAATACTGGTCGGAGAGATAACTCATAACACAGAGATAACCCTGACACTTGATAAATATAATTGTTATAACTTTGTTTTTCATCAAACAAGCAGTCATGGTCACCTAGTATAAGTAGGTGCAGGACAGAATGTGATGTTTTTTGTAAATTGGTGAACTTTTTAATGTTTTTCAAATAACCGTAACTTTTCCTTCAGAACTTTGTTTTTACTAAAATCAACTAAAAAATATCAACAAAAATCAATAAAACAGATGTAAAAATAAATTATTGATGCTTATTTTCCTATCAATTTTTACTTAAAAATTTAAGTGTCAACTTTATCTACTGTTGTAGGATAAAAAGACTATATTTTGTTTACCTCATTCAGGACCTTAAAGAAGTACCAGTTTCCATTTTCATACATAATTTTTGTAGTGTAATGTAAAGTCTTTGAACTGAACATTGTTAAGGTGGTTCAATATTTAAAATATACCGGAAGATAATTAAGATATTGCAAAAAATATGTGATTTAGTGTCAGAGTTACCTCTCCAACCAGTAATGTTAAACATTGTTTTAGCATGATTGATGGAGATTTATATATAAGATACGAACTGGTAAAATAAAACATCTACTGATCTAGTCCATCTGATGTTGATGTGTCATTTCTGCTGTTTATTTTCTGATATTTTACAGTATGAAAATTAATATAAAGTATATCACCAAGTCACATGTATCACAATAATAGAGTACATGTGTATGTGTAAAATAAGAAGAAAATATTTATGTTTGTTTATTATTTGTTTCAGGATGGTAGTGTTGAGAATTGTTATATGGAGTGTCAGCACATTTTTTTATCCAAAATAATATACAGTCCGCTGGAGAGCTTAACATCTTCTGGTCATAGAAATGAGGAAAGAAAGATTTGTTTAATATTCCAAGACATACAATTAAATTGAAGTGGATGTCCAATGTACAGAAACAGTGGAAAATGAATATACATTTATAGATCAAACAGATACAGTTAAGAAGATGGGTGTTCGAGGACTGTCAACATTTATAGATGATAATAAGAATGTTCTACTTAATGATTATAAACTGCATGACACAAGAGTTATTATAGATGGAACAAATCTTTTTCACTTTTTATACTACCATTACAAAGTTTCTCACCAATTCGGTGGAGATTATGATCACTTTGCAAGAAAATGCAAACGTTACTTCAATACTTTGAAAGAGTGTAAAATTATACCATTTGTAGTTTTTGATGGCGGATATAATCCAGATGATAGAAAATTACCAGAGGTTTTAGATCGTATGAATGATAGAAGGAAGAGAGTTGGTTTGATAGTTGCTCGAGGACGAGGATGTGTTTTACCAATTCTGACTTGCGAAACATTTCAACAGGTGCTTTTAGAGTTAGATATAGCACATGTGTCGTGTGTGTACGAAGCTGATAAAGAAGTTGCAGTTCTTGCCAAGCGATGGAACTGTCCGGTGTTAAGTAATGACAGTGATTTCTTTGTATACAGACTTGAAGGTGGATTCATACCCTTAGACTATATCAATATGACATTATGTGTGTATAATACAGAAACAGAAGTTGCTTCAGTTTTGGAACATAAAATGTCTGTAGGGGAAAAGCAGTTTGCATACATACCTGTTAAATACTATAATTGTGAGCGTTTGTTGAAATTTTTTAAGAAAGTTGATGATAATTACGTTCTTCCATTGCTAGCAACAGTTGTTGGCAATGATTATGTTGACAACTCGGTTTTAAGCAGTTTTAACTATGCACTTCGTGCTCCAAAGAACCCAAGTAAGAGGTCATTGAATGTTAAGGCAAGCGGTAGAATGGAGGCTGTAATGTATTGGATAGATACAACTGAAAATGAAACAGAAGCTCTGGAGCAAATTTTAGCAAGTATAACTCTAGAGAAGAGGGACAGAGTTGGAGAAATTCTGAAAACTTCTATCAATGAATATAAACAAATAGACAGTTTTTCTTCATTTGATATAGAAAATACTTTGAACGCTTTCCAGAGTGACAAAACTATGTTTGATGAGAACATTGACAGTGACATTGCAGTAGAAGGTGATGAGACTTCACAAGTGACTGATCATAATGGTAAACAACTTCCAGGTTGGTTCATTAAGAGACTAAGAAACTGTGAAATGAACGGATCATTCTTGCAGAATGCGATTGTAAATCATAGAGTCATACTAAACTGCCAAGTGGAAATACTGAGAGAAACATCTTCCTATGCTGTCTCGAGAAAACTACGTAGTTTTATATACAAAATAATTTTAAGTTCACAGACAAATGATGTACCTGGTAAGACGTATCAAGATATATGTGTTGTAGAATATGACAGACAGGGTAAAGAAACTAAAAAGTTTCTTGTCAAACCTGTTGACAGTTTGCTAGCCCTTGTACCAGAAATTCCACTCTTAGAAGAAATACCTGATCTGTCAAGAATAGAGAGAAGAAACATGTTATATGCTGCATTTGATGTCGATGAAAGTTGTTTTGATGAAACATTTCAAGAATCCACGCAGTTGCTGTTGCTTGTATTAAGCATGTGGGTAAAGTTTGCTCAACCCAAGGTCACAGAAAGTCATTTGAGTGCACTGATTATTAGTGTCATTGCTCTTCATATGAAAGAATTAGAGTGGTTAAATATGAAAAAATCATTAGGATATAAACCATATGAACCAGATCTATATATAGACATTGTAAATGCTTGTTCAACATTACCCAGTAAAAAGGCAGAATTCTTCAAGAAACACATAGAGAAGCATTTCAGTCGACCGGAACACTCGGCAAAGATACCTCGAGATAATAAGGTGGTACATGGATTTGCACAGTTTCAGACATGTTTTCTGTACACAATGTACCTGAATGAAGTGTTATTAAAACCAGTTTGCATGCCAAGTCCAAGCATGATTCTCAATTGTACATTTGTATACAATCTTTGCAGAGATCTAGAAGGTCGTCTTCACTCAGAACTTTTTTGTGCAGATATACTTGGTAGGGGATCCTCGCTACATACCCTATTCTTATCTTGGAAGCAGAAAGTGATTGAATTGTGCAATGATAACTGTTTTGAAGCAACAGGGTTAGGTGTTAAGAAGAAGAATAAATCCAAAGGAAAGAAGACAGCAAAAGTTGACAGGGAGGAGAGGAAAGAGACCTTGATAAATTCAGAGAAAATGGAAGATGAAACTGTGACATTGAATTGCGATGTTAGCAACAAATTTTCACTCCTTAATCTTAGTGATTCATTTTGAGGAAGAAAAATGGGTATTTTTTTTTGCTGGAAAATTTGTTAGTTTGACTTGAAAATTGCCATAATGAAATCTTGATAATGTGTCAAAAAGCATGTAACATGCATACATAAAGAACAAACTTGCCCTGAACTTGTAACATGATCATCAGTAGTCTTGTTTTTAATACAAGATCAATTGCATTTTCTCAGCCCTTTCAATCTGCAGTTAAGGACCTCGAAGACAATAGTAAGAATACACAGATTATATGCAGTATTTTGATGTAAGCTATGCTAAGAAAATTAACATGTAAAAAAAATAACGAGTAAATATGGGAGTTGTTGGCATTGTTTATTCCATTATATTGTGTAAAAGTTTGCCTAATTATGTAAATTTAGAAGTATAAAAGGAAACGCTGTATATATTATTTATATCCATGCTTATTGTATCAAGTTTGTAGTAACCAAAAGTACAAAATGAATACCTATTGCCTTGAATTCAGATTTGTTTATAGTTGAACATTTTTGGATGCTTTAAAATTGATTGTGATTGTCAGACATATTTTACAATGATAATTATACAGTCAGGGCTCATTACAACGACACTGTTGGTACCCAAAGGATATGTCAGTATATCGAATTTGTCAGTACGGTATATTGAATTTCATCATTCATCATGTAATGAGATGCTTATTCACTGGTATCTGAACATTATGTATTTAGATCTATAATAAACATCTATAATGAAAAAGATGTTTGTGTTTATATGTTCACTTTATTATACACATTACATATTAAACACATAATTCAACAACTTTATTAAAGTAATAACAGCTAAAATAGTTAAAAATTGATATGAAAATTATAAAAAGCAAATACAATGATAGAACTTTAAAAGTTAAACCTTTAAAAATTGATTGAACACTGTTTGTTGTTATAAGTTGGCAAAAGTAGCAAAATTTAGCTGACAACAACACGTTGGTATCGTAATAAGGTGTAACAATCAACTGACAAAGCTACAATACCTGTTTTAACACCTTGCGGCTTTTGTTCTCGGCTCAATTATACCCACGTATGACTGACCAAGTGTCAGTTTAACGGGTACTGATTGTATAGAAAATAACACATTTGGTTTCCAATTTTATTGTGTCGGAGTCGGAATACGAATTTTCTGTTATAAAGAATAACGTTGAAAAAATTTGGTTCCCACCAATTCACTGTCGTTATTTGAATTTGTCAGTATAATGGATTCCAATGTATTGTGTCCCGACTGTACTGGAATAGACTTTTTGTAGAAGAAAATTTTATTTAACTTGTACATTTACATGTATCTCGTTATACATCAACTAGTAATACATATCAAACATTTTGTCACGGTATATATTTCGATATTTTCCTTTGGATGTCATATAAATATACAAATTTTATTCATTATAAAATACATGTAACCCTTGTCCTTTCGTTTTGCTTATATCTTAGATCAAGTCTTAGATGATTAGATTAGTAATTGTTGAGTTGTTCCGATTACTATAAGATTGTCTGGAGCATGTGTGGCAGGGTTTAAGTTTCGTGACTTCAAACAACTTGCCCCTCACTGTAATGGGTTTGAATCCCTTCAGGGACTTTGGATTCCTTCATGTGAGGTAGCTATTCAGCTAGATTACATCAGTGGTTCTACTAGGGTGAGGCACAGAGTGACTCCCCAAGGTCTTCCTCCACCAGAAGAGCTAAAAATTTCACCGTGTTGGGGCTCCCACATTTACAAGTTTAACGTATTCGTTTCGATTTTCATTCGTAAATGTTCATAATATTTTCACCGTTAATGAAATGACCATATGGTCTTACAAAATATCTTATTCATTGCCTGTAATCATGCAAGAGCAAAATTGGGATACACTGCAAAAAATTTGTGCCGATTCCCTTGCAATGAGCCCTGAACATTATTTACTTGTGCATGTATTAATAAGAAAGTAACTCTTCATTTGGCAACTGGAATACATAGTATAGTATAGTATATAGAAGTACAATCGTTCAAACGGTATTGTTTCGGTTTTTAGCAATCATGTAAACGTTTACAAAAAAATGTAAACATGGGAGCCTTAGTGATGTGTATAAACACCCCCCAAATGCTTTAAGATTTAGTCATTTTCCTGTATCTGTCTGTATAACTCAGAGCCATATTTCACTGTAATAGTCTGTTGGACAAGATAAAAAAAACAAACCCAAATGGTATGTACATCCTGTAAATACATACTGTATTGGCAAAGATATTCTATGCATTTGGAGTAACTAGGTGTTTTAATTAAATTTTCTTCCTATCATTAGAATCCTGTTGATCTTGTAGTTAGCAAGTTACAGAAAGTGACAATCATGAAGCAGAGACATGTACCTTTATTTTTTATTCTTGACAAATATTAAAATCACCATTCCAGTTTTTCAAGACATGCAATTAGGTTAAAATTGAAACACAATTTTTCACAAATATGCAACTTGTGTGCTAACACTGCTCACCTGAGGAAATGGTTAATTTAGATAATAGCTCCATTGGTCTAGTTCATTTCTGACAGAAGAATAATAATTTAGAGAACTTCTGTAGATGCCAGCCATAAAATGCTTAGAAACATATTTCAGCTTGATAGTTTAGATTCAATAAATACAGGATATTGTATGGGTGTAGGGTAAACACTTAATCTCTTTATTCACTATGTACCTATAGTTATTAGTATAATCCTAACAATTAGTCTGTCTCGTGAAAAATATGAAATATTGCAGGCCTTTTCCTAGCCCTTTGGAAAAAAAGTACCTGGCTCAGTTTTTTTCGTCATAAAATAGCTTCTATTGGGAAAAATACCTCCTTTATGCCTTTTTGGCATAGTATTTTGAATTGTGCAAAATTGTTTAATCCAACCAATGCAAATATAATTCAAAGCATAAATAATACATTAAAATTTGACATTGAAATGTGTGGAAACATCTGTCTGATAGCAAATTTGTCAGTTTTGATATCTAGAATTTCAGTTCGTTTGGGAAGGTTTTCTTTTTAGATTGGGAAAAAATAAGCATATTTGGTATTGGGAATGGGTCTGGTAACCTGTACCATAGTAACACTGGGAAAAGGCATGTATTGTTTCCACAAAAATTTCTAGAAATACAGTAATATATTTGAAACATATGATACAATCAGCCAGACAAAATTTGACTCCAGGGGCATTATGAAAATAACTAGAGGAGGACCACTAGGCAATGTTACAGGCCAAATCTTTATGACCTGAGCCTGGTAATTTGACAGATTCTACAGATTTCACTTTTAATTCTTTGAACTACAAGTTCTTTATCAAACTTGAACCATTTGCAGAAGAACCACTTGAAGGAAATTTCTGTAAAGTTCATCTAAATGTACCTTGTAGTTTCAAAGAAGGTATTTTTGAACAAATAATGAACAATGTATATTGAATCACAAAATGCAACAAACATCTGAGGCTCACAATAGCTCACAGTAGAGCTTTTTATGCCCAGGTGAATAAAAAATTGCCATATTTTCAGCTTGTATTATATTTTAATGCATTTTCCCCATTAATATCCTGTTAAAATGTCAGGGGCCACTCGAAAGTAATAATAAATATATATATCCTTAACAACTGTCACAAATCTGGGTTTCTGAAAAAACCAAACTTTGCACTTCACAGCCCTATTTATTTTACTCCATTTCTATTTTTTGCCTTTTTTCTTTCCTCCACCTTTAGCTGGTTCAGGATCGTTGCCCTGGGCAACAGCAAGTTGTTTCTTTAAATCAAGCAATTTCTTGACTTCCGCGTCCACAATTACCTTCTCTGCTTTATTTGTCTTTAATTCTCTAACCTTGTTACCCTGAAATATAATGCAATATATATGATAAAAGTGCTAAAGGTACTACATTTGTTAGGTTCTGAAAAATGAACTGAAGCATATAATTACGGTTACCTGGATTTTTTTTTAACAGGGGGTACAGGTCCATAATTTCCCAGACCATTTTCTGATATGAATTTTAATTTGTTACATACTAACCTGTGATGTTACAGCTGCCTGTAACTTCTCTATTTCTTCTGGACTTGCTGCAACACCCGTCTTCTGTTCACCTCCTTTTTTACCCTGAAACATACGTAAAACACTACTTGTAAATTTGATACAAGACCAATATATTTATACCTGTACAACAGATAAGAGAAAGATCCCAACTATTTAAAGTTCATACATGATACATACAGCAGATTCATTAAAGCATATAGATATAGTATATAGATATATAAACCAAGTGTCTCTCAGAACATCATCAATTTATCATTGTAGGGGCATGATTGATACAAATCTTATAGAGGGTCATATGGTTACATTACTATCTAAGCTCTTGGCATTACAATTTCTGAGGAGAAAAAAGATTTCTTAGATATATGATATTTTTAATGAAGTCTAGTCTTTGTTTGTTTGTTTCATTTTACGCCTTTTTCCAACAGTATTTCAGTCATATAGGCGGGTAGTTTCCTAACCATCGTTCCTGGAGAGTTACACCAGTACAAGACTACCTTCCTCCGCGCTAAACTACCAAAGCATCTCCCGGGGATCGAACCCACGCCAGAGAGGTAACTGGATTAGAAGTCATTGACTCTAACCCCTCGACCACGGAGGCGGTTCATGAAGTTTAGTCAAAATCTAGCTTGTGTCATTGTTTGTAGATAAAACCTTGCACCAAAGACAACATACCGTCATAAAGAACAAACTCTTGGCATTTTGTGCTTGGGTGAGCAAAAAAAATTGGATTATATAAAGTTATAATTCTATGACATTGCTCTTATCCAATTGTCAAGAATGGATATTCTTACCATAGTTAAATGTTAATCTGATCTTCCTAACATGCATGTAAAGGGATAAAAGATCATGTCCCTAAATACCATGTTATATATCTTATCACATAAATCTGTAGATGAAAATCCTTTAAGTTGTGCCCAATATTTTCTATCATATTTACTTTATAATAAACCAAACTCGATATACATGTAACAGATGTGTAGGCTCATCACACCTTTCAAGCCTTTAAACATGTAACATCAAGAGTATATTGATGTTAAGTAAACCAGATAATGTACAAGTATAATCATTACCGTAGCTTTACTTGATGGGACAGGTCCCTTGCCAGCAAACTTTTTCTTCAATTCAGCAATCAGTGATGCTTCAATCTTTTGGAACAATGGTGAAGGCTACAATATTGATAAAAGTAATATATTTTATAATATTATACCTTACAAGAATATGATCCTTCTTTATAAATATAAATGTCAGCAGGCCTTTAAATAGTTTCATATTCATGATAACTAAAGCGGTCCAACAAAAAAGGTAGTGACCACCTGAGTACCTGTTGAATAAAAATGTGTATAATATAGTTGACTGCCAACAATATTCAGTACATTTAACAAAAACTTTTGTGATCAAAACAAGATGATTACAAGCAAATTTGTTGAATTTATATCCCCCGCCGAGTACTGGTTATTATTAACACAACAACTGAAGACATAAGGCTTTATTTATATATTAATCATGGCATAAACAGTAATATTCTTTGAACTTGATAAATATTCAGGGCAATAACAGAGCCATAACTTTGTGTTAAATAGTAAAATCTGGAAATGCCAATGAGATGTATGCATACTACATAACTAATCAAGGGCCATAAATCTGAGTTATAAGTATCTGACTGGAACAAGGCGACTATATGCACATCTGCTCTTAGTATCCCATAAAGTTTCATTGAATTCCAGCCAGTAGTTGCAGAGAAGTAGCGAGGAAACAAATATTTTTCTATATGGATACTGCATAACTAATCAAGGGCCATAACTCTGAGTTAAAGTGTCTGACCGGAACAAGCCGACGATATGCGCATCTCCTCTTGGTATTGAAGGTTCCCATAAAGTTTCGTTGAATTCCAGCCAGTAGTTGCAGAGAAGTAGTGCGGAAACGATTTTTACTCTATATGCATACTACATAACTAATCAAGGGCCATAACTCTGAGTTAAAGTGTCTGACCAGAACAAGCCGACGATATGCGCATCTCCTCTTGATATTGATGATTCCCATAAAGTTTCGTTGAATTCCAGCCAGTAGTTGCAGAGAACTACTCCGGAAACGATTTTTACTCTATATGCATACTACATAACTAATCAAGGGCCATAACTCTGAGTTAAAGTGTCTGACCAGAACAAGCCGACGATATGCGCATCGCCTCTTGATATTGATGATTCCCATAAAGTTTCGTTGAATTCCAGCCAGTAGTTGCAGAGAACTACTCCGGAAACGAAATTTGGACGGACAACGCCAAAACTATATCCCCCTCCCGATTCCATCGGCGGGGGATAACTACATGTATTATGTTTTAGGAATGTGCGGTATAATATTAGATATAGCACACAGTTCTTTGGACCTCATAGACCTCCAATTCAGCTACCAACATTAAATGGACCTCAGTCTTCAGTCTGGGTCTGTAATTGTTTGCAGGATGACTGATCAGTCATTATAATGCTATAGAGTCCTAAGTGATGTGTACTTTTTCTTAAATAATGTGAAAATAACAAATATCAGCAGGTCATTTTTGAAATTAACAAATATCACTTTGGACAAAATTAATTAACAGCCATCAACCAAAGTTCAATAATTTCAACACAACAAATATGACAATTTATATAAAAAAAAAATTTTCCATACAGTCACAACAAGCCTATCCAGTGTCAATAACTTGAAAAGAGACTACCAACCCACCAACATTCTTTATAATTTAGCTATTTTACAGCTAGTATTTTTTTTCAACTGATTAGAACAAACAGATAATTTTTTTCCTATGTGAACCTGACATTTTTGAAATAATCATGTTGACATTACATGTTCTCCTTTCATCACATTACAATAATTCTCTATATAGGTCAATTTGGATGTAAACAGTGTTTAAACTGTTTTACTTACTGTTCCTATCTTATGTCCAGGAGGTAAATGACATACAAAATCTTGATACACTGCATTACAGGAAGATGGAGCATTTAGCTGACCCTGTATTGTAGCACTAATCTGAGGCATGTATGGTTGAACCAACACTGACAATAGACAGGAAATATTTGCTGCAAGACTCACTACACTCCCAGCTCGTCGCCTACAAGTACAAGACAATAACAAGGTTACTAATTCTAAATATGCAAAAGATTAATCAAGAAATTTTGGCTTTCTATTTGACAATAATGAAGGAAATAATAAGGTGAACATATTGAAACGTCTGAAACTTAAAATAATTTTAGTAATGTTAAAAGAATGGCACAGGCATTTGTTACTGACAAATGATTTAGTGTTTTTAAATGTGTAACTTGTCCTGAAGATAGTAAAAGGTAGGCGATGTTAAAGATGATTCAAAATCAACTTCACTGTATTTCCATGACAAAAAACATGTATAAGGAACATTCCTCAATTAAGTGATTCATGAGATACAGAGCAGAGATAAAATAGTTAGGAGGGACACATTACACATTCCTTACGGTGTGAAGACTAATAACTTATGTAATGTCAGGGCAAATGGTTAGAAAACACAGAGACATAGATAACAGAGATAATTAAGCAGCAAATAAAACTTAATGGATGTACATTTGATCCTTTAATATTATATACCATTTGAAAGGTAAATTTTTTATCTATTGCTGCATGTAAAAATATTGGTAACTTTGCATGCCTTTCACTTAGAAAAACATAGCAGAACATACCCACTGAGCCAGTTTTTTCTTCAAATGAATAGTTTTGTAACAAAAATTAATAGGTAGTTCTCTTTAAAAATTCATGTATCATTTATTTATATGGGAACTGTAAATATTTTTACCTGCAGCCATAGACAAATGCATAAGCTTTCAGAAAATGTATTATTTTCCTGATTTTGATATCTGGTTAATAAGTTTTACTTGCTACAAGTTTTAAGTTTAGCAGGAACGCGTGATATTTTAACTGGCTAGGTAGTTGCCTATCTCTGTTATCTATGTCTCTGGAAAACACAATAATACAATACGGGTACTTCAAATATTTAAACTCGTCATTAACAATTAATTACAATAATGTATAAATTTAACTTACTTATCAGTATCACTTCCTTTAACAAGCAACCAGGGCTTGTTTTCCTGCATGAACTGGTTGCCAAGTCGTGAAATGTTCAGAATATTTCTGATGGAGTCCCTTAATCTAAAATAAAACTTTTTTTCATTTAATACATACACTTAAGCTATAAAAATGCCTTTATAACAAGAGCAAAGCATGCTGTGGACACTCGTCCGTTACCGTCAACCCCTATCAATAACCAATGTTTATAAAATTCTAAGTTAAAAGGGACAAAACTCTTAAAAATATTGCTTTGAGGATAATGTCCCTTGTCTTACAACTGTGCCATGCCATGATTTACAAATATTCCAAGTCTGTTTTATTGTTTATTGCATTGTTTAAAAATCATTCTACATATTTAAAAATTTTGACAAAAATTCTATGTCAAAAAGGGGCATCACTTCAAACATTTAGCTTTAAGAATAATGCTGATTGTCTAAATACTGTTCTTTGTCATAAATAAATAAACAAATATTCCAGGTTTCATGTTGATATCTTTCATAGTTTAAAATTATTCTACTTAATACACAATTTTGGCAAAAATTGTAAGTTGGTATGCCCCATGTCTAGCAACTGCACCTTCTTATGATAAGCAAGTTAAAAGGACTCTACACCATATCTGCCATGTTTAATTTGTTTGTTTGTTTTGGGTTTTAAGTCACATCGTCACAGTATAGGTCATATCCTGACGTTCCAGCTTTACTGGTGGAGGAAGACCTCCGGTGCCCCTCCGTGCATTATTTCAGGCACGAATGGGCACCTGAGTAGAACCACGGACGTTCCGTAAGCTAGCTGGATAGCTTCCTCACATGAAAGAATCCAAAGTCCCCATCGGGATTCAAAACCACAGCGGTGAGGGGCAAGTGGTTTGAAGTCAACGACCTTAACCACTCGGCCACGGACGCCCCATGTTTAATTTAGTAAACAATGTAAAAGATATTAAAACAATAACGTAATCCAAATTTTTTTTTTAAATATTGGGAATAAAATGTAACAAGTAGCCACATGTCTATACAAGATTCAGGTTTTTGGTAAGAAAAGTTACCTTGCAGACTCCATATTGTCTATATATGTCTGTAGCTCCCTGTTGACTAATGCTAGAAGATTATAGTCATCAACAGTCAACACCATCTCCTGTATAACACCACCAAAACTGTTGCTCACAAACATTAAAGCTCTGTCCAATTAAAATATAATTATCAATTTAATGGCATTATTAAACACAATTACTATTCAATATTTATGTATATATTTTAAGAGTTTAACATCGATCCAACTCATTATGTATTTTTTTCTTACTTCATTTGGTAAGAAATTTTTTTTATTCTATATTTAGCACTGTATGTTTGGAACAAAATGGTTAACTTTATGGCTTACATAAGATGTAAGAATGCTATGATAACTTACCTGTTTATGAAGTTGCCAAGATTATTCAGTAGCTCGCTATTATTCTTCAAAAGGAAGTCATCCCAGCTGAAACTGCTATCCTGAAAATAGGAATATTTGACATGTAATAAGAATTTAAAAGTGATCTTTGAGTATTTGTAACATTACACTAATTATAATATTTCAGTTAAAATACCTATAAGACCATCTTAAATATTCAAAGTTTTCAATCTTCATTCAATAACAACACATCCTTTGCAAAGTTGCCTTTTGCAGTAAAAGCAATATAATAATCAGTGTGTTATTTGACAGCCTGTAGGCATGATTTAAATCACTTTTACTGAGGACATACGGTATGTATACAGTTTCATAACAGTTCTATGCTTGTAGCAGTGTGTCTTGTTATTTCTATCAGGCAAATGGTTTCCTATATATGACTATACTAAAGTTTTTTAAAGTTAATCAAAAATCATAACAGCCCCCCTCACAAAAACTAAAAACAAAAAAAAAAAGATTTTATCATGCTGAAATTTCTTAAATTTCCTCTTCATTAAATGTTATTTTGATTATGTTTGACCGTGTGTTACCTGTGTTTCTGGTCTGACAAAGAGGAGATAAAATCTATAAATATCAGCAGGTATCCCAGTGTCTCTAGCCTGGTCACCAAATACACCTGTCTCTCGACTCTTTGAGAATTTTCCATCTTCATAGTTCAAATACTCTGTGTTATAAAAAGAGTCTGATATAAATTGTTTAATATCCTTACATATATTTTTTTTTACATAAAACCACAGGATTACAGTCATTTTAGTCATTTTTTTTTTACAAATTAAAGACTAATATTACAATTTTTAAAGAAAATTCAAAAGAGCAATAATTAATTAAATATATAGGTTCTATAGTTATGAACTTTTTTATTTGTGTTTTAGAATAAATTCCCATAAATATAAAGAAGTTATAGTAAAAAATAGTTTACTGTAGAGAATGATCATGCATAGAAAAACGTTAAAAACAAAAATTCTAAGTTAACAAACAAGAATAATTCAGTTAAAATGTTGTACATGCAAACTTTAAACCAAGTGTTTTGTTTTCATTTGCATTATTTAGACCCACTACTCATAAAAATAAATATATTTTAAAAAATGTACCAAAGTGATATCAAAATGGTCTTTTTATTGAGTTTACTGATATGTTAACAAAGTAGAAACCTGTGGCTGACATATGATTGACAATAGTGTAGTTATCATCAGCTCCTAGTAGAGTAGCAGGAAATATGACACTATGAAATGGCACATTATCCTTGCCGAGGAAATTATACATCTCTACATTGTCAGCATTTTTCCACCAGCTCTCCCATTGCTCTGTATAATTAGCAGTGATTGAAATGTAGCCAATTGGAGCATCAAACCAAACATAAAACACCTGTAAAAAAAACTTATTTTTTTAGAAAATACATCTTTATTTTCTATTACATAGACAATAACAACTTAGTACCATGAAAAACTACTTGCATATGCCCATGGTACAATGCCTAGTTGTTTGTAAACAGAATGCACATTTTGTTTTACTTCATTACTGTGTTGGTCAAAACTAATTAATATTTTCCATCAGTGTATTAATTTATATACAGTGTAGTAATAATTTTGTTTTTTGTTTCAGAAAAGGACTTTTAAATCTGAGAACTGTCTGTATAACAGGTCATTATGACAATTTTGATTCATTGAAATCTTACAAACTTACAAGGAAATGTTTCTATAAATTTGACCAACACTGAAAGACATATGTAAGATGAAACGCTGACCTTTTATATAAATAAATGAAAATAAATGGCATCGTAACCTACACATTTGATTATTTAACTTGATGACTGCAATTATTTGAAATGTTTAAGGATATTTTATGCACAAATATGACTTGATGCTGGTAGTACCATGAAAACTTGTTAGATCATCACACTATCTATACACAAAAATATATTGAAGAATATAACTAAATTACATACAAAGATTATCCTTCTGCATTTCAGCATAAATTAAGAAGAAAATTGTTTGTTGTCTGACAGTACAACTTTCCTACCTTATCAGTGTATCCCTCTAGAGGCACAGGGGTCCCCCATTTCAAATCTCGACTGATACATCTAGGTTTGAGACCATCTCGGATCCATGAGTTAGTGATGACCTTGGCATTGTTTGTCCATGTACCAGAAGCAAACACCTTGGTCAAGTGGGATTGAAGCTTAGGCTCAACCTTAAAACAATTACACAGAGTATTGCATCAAAAAAGCGTAGCTCATACATGAAAGAAATACTTTGACATGACCGAGCACCTTGTTTTATATTATGTTATTACCAAATGCCTCGGAGGGTGACAGAACATAGTATTTGCCTGTGAAGGTAAATAGACATTTCAAGAGTTCACATTGTGTACTATCAAACTTAGAGAGATTTGATATTTATTTTGCTATTTGGAACATAATCTTAAAGTAGTAAGGAAACAAGAATTATAATATAAATTGTATATAATAATACCTTAGGTAGATCTAGAAACAAGTGATCACTGGAGCGCACTTCTGGCGAGTTCTTGCACAATTTACATTTAGGTTTGAGAAGCTCTGTGGCATTAATTAGTTTACCACAGGCATCACACTGGTCTCCTCTAGCATCTTCAAATGAACACAATGGACATATACCCTCAACAAATCTGTCAGCTAGAAACCTTTAATGTAAGGTATATAATGCATATTAATTACAAGACAGTAATGGATTTACATCACTCATCTGTGATCCATTGCTTTAAAAGATTTGTAAATTTTTTCTCTATATTGTAAAAACAAGGGACACCCAGTCAATTTTAACTTCATGTTTATAACTTGGAAATCTCAGCTTAACTTGGAAATCCCTTGGTATGAAGCAATGCTGCATACCAAGGCTTTCCAGTTCTTGAGAAGAAGATTTTTTTTTTTGCCATGGCAACCTATATTCTGTATGGCATGAAAATATTCAGAGGACGTGTAGATAACAACCTTGCTCTCAACAGGGGTAGGGCATCAATTTTCTCTGCTACTTCAAAATATGTTATCCTCATTGGAACAGTAGTATAACAGATGTTATAAGTAAGTTGAACACCAGACAGAGAGTTATCCTAATATTTTAACTTTTGGTGTACTTTGTATTCTTTGTTTCTCTGATTCACTTAATAACTTTTAATCCAGTTAACAGAACTACACATCATATTTTCATACTTGACCTTAAGTAGCTAGCTAGTTATTCAACAAACGTAATTATTTAAATGACTACTTTTTTGACATAACAATATTTTGCAATTTTGTGATGTTCATTTTAAAATCATGATATATTCATCAAGTATTTACCTATCACAGTTTTTGCAGTGTAACTGTTCTACACTGTCCTTACATATAAACCCTTTCTTGTGCAGTTGCCAAAATATATCCTGTGCTATACTGTAATGGAAAAAAATATATCATAAATTTAATAAATTACTTTATTCATTATGATTTATACAAATGCCTAGGTGAAATCAGATGAGAAGTTTCAATTAGATATCATTAACAGTTTTAAAGTTATATCATTGTTAAGAATTATTAAACATTTTTAGCACAGTAAACTCCACTTATGATATAGCTTAAAACAATATAAATTTGGCGGTTCCCTGAATACTGTTATAAGCTGAGTTTACTGTATCATAATGGACAGACAAGGCAGCAACTCTTAGGGGAGCATAATGATGTTTGATAATGCTGGGCAATACCAGCTCCACGTATGTGCAAAGTTACAGCCCCCAAAAAAAGAAATCACGCTCATTTTTGACATTTTACCCCTAAGTATGACCTTGAAATTTCAGAGATGGTTCTGGTCAATGTGACTTTTGAGTATTTATGACAATAAACAATTGGTGTCTTCTGTTTAAATGGGGCAATTTTCCTTGCAAATGATGTAATGGTTATAACAGATTTATGACAAAAATGGGAAAAAAAATATAATAATAGCACCTGGTTTGTTGTTTTGTTGTTGTTCTACCAAAGTAGTCAAAATCAATGTTGAACCAGTTATATATCTGTCTATGTATCTCTGTGTATTTATCACATATCTGTTGAGGAGTTAAACCTTCAGCTATAGCTTTAGTTTCTGTTGCTGTACCATATTCATCAGTCCCACAAACATATAAACAGTTGTAATTCCTTAGTCGGCAATACCTGAAACAAACATATAAACTATTATAATTCCTCGGGCAGCAATACTTGTACAACACCACTAAGTAATGAACTCGACAGTATTTAAAAAAAAATTCTTATTACAGTCAACTTTCCTTATCTTGAAGTGGCAGGTACCTTTACAAAAAGTTGAGGTAACAAAATGTCAAGATAAATGTATAAGACATAATAAGGGTTTAAATCAAACAGAAACTGATTTTTTTACAGGCTTGTACATATCTTTTATCTTCAGTACATTTAAAAGGTGAAGGCTTACCAGATGCCAGTATGTATTATCCCAATATCTTCCGAAGGAACTAATTACAATTAACATTCTATTCATCTTGTCTAAGACCTATTATCAACCGAGAATACTTCTGACTAGGAGAATATGATAAGTATCGGCAGCCTTGAATTCAATCAGGTCTTACCTTGACTATAAACCTAAATTTTATATATTTATTTTACACCTACCTTGAAAAGACATCTGCACTAAGAACACAACCAATGATATTTCCTAGATGAGGTACATTGTTGACATATGGTAATGCACTTGTTATAAGCATATTACGTCTACCTTTCTCAGGTAATCTAGAAAAAAGAGAAATCAAGTCCATTAGATAATGAAAATTGTATTCACTGCACAAATAAACCTGTTATTTTTGTATGTTTGTTTGTTCAAACTATGTTAAAAACATATCACTAACAATTCAGATAGATGCAGGTGAAATTAGAGAAGTTCTATAGTATTGCCCTTTATGGACTGATAATTAAGTCTCAAGACTCAAACATATGTCTAAACTACAGTTCTCATAGAATATTACATTTCAAATTTAAGATAAGTGTAATGAGTGTTATTCTATTAAAGAACATCTGTGTATTATTTCAGGCACAAACCCGCACTGGAGTAGAACTACCGACCTTACTAAAGCTAGCTGATAGCAATCTGATTAAAATCAGCTCTAAATAACGGTCAGCATTTAGGTCTGACCATCACCAAATTCACACATGCTCTTCTCAACACTCGGCAAAATGTCACTTACATAGGATGTTTCCTTTCTAGTGGTTCAGGGCAGACTTTCTTGCCATTTAGCCAAGCTTTAGTTGCAGCTTCCACTTCTACCGGATCAGCTATCACCTTTTCAGAAACCTGTAAATAATACATATATCTTAAACTGGACAGCAAAGTTAAATGGAAAACCAACTCACACTAAGTAGAAACATAAAGGCATTTTAAGTTCATTAAGTACATTACAATCAAATGTAAAATGTCATTTTCTAATAACTTTATAAATTGAATGTGGACAACTTTCAACATATTTATCAGCATAAAAGAAATTTAATGTTAAACATTTTCTATTTTAGCTCAATTGTGATGAAAGCATGCAGCTTATCTGAACCATTTCCAACTAGAAATGTGTTGTCATGCCACGGATGCCCCCACATGCAGCCAAAATTTCAGATGTTATAATATTTAGTTCCAAATTTGTTTGCACAAACTATTTTTTTCATTTTAAGTTCAAAGCCCTCAAAACTATTCAATGTTAACACAAACCATTTTTAAACAAAGTTCAAGGCACTGAAACTATTCAGTGTTAACCTTTTGTAAATTGCATATTGAATATTTCTGGCCAAATTAATGGCTACATACAATTCCACAAAAGTATGAGTGCTGAAACTGAAAATTCAAAATTTTCAAGGAAGATAACTTTGTCCAAAATCAATGAACCATGACCAAATTCAAACTTGAACTGCTTATTCCTAAGATGTATCTATATGTCAAATTTGAGTTGAATGTGTAAAACCATTGGGGAGGTAATGAACTGAAACTGAAAATTTCTGATTTTTTTCATAGTAAAAGGGGCATAACTCTGCCAAAAATCATCGAACCATGACCAAATTCAAACTTGACCTGTATTTTCTCATGACATATCCATATGCCAAATTTGAGTTGAATGTGTGCAACCATTACTAAGATAATGAATGGAAACTGATGATGACGGAATGACAGAATGACGGAATGACGGAACAGGGTAACACTATATGCTCCAGCCATTATATGGCGGGGGCATTATAAAACATTACCCTAGAAAAGCATAAACAGACAATTCCAGTGTAGAGAGGCAGACACCTTAACTCCCCTTGCAACATTGTTCTTTACTTAAACAAGATGGCTTCCTATCTTCTCTGCCACAATTAACCCTGCATGCTTACATAAGCTTAAAATAAAAAGTATTCCAGCTTACTTTCAAAAGTACACTTTTGTTATTGACAAAACTTGTTCCTCAATATTCTAACTTATCTCCCTCATTACTAATACTATAGCATTAAAGGGGTGCATTTTGTAAGTGTGTTATATGTTGTTAAATCATCATCTGCTAGATAATTAATTACAGATATCAATATATTAATGAAGACATACAGCAGGTTCTTCTTTAGTTTTGCTAGGCTGTTTCTGGATTTGCTGTTTCAGCTGCACTTCTTTATGCCTCAAGGGAGCTGACTGTTTTGTTAGTGAATCTTTCAGGACTGCTATGTCACCTTCCCTGTACACTGCCTTTACTGCCATCTGAAATTCTGGTTTCACTGAAAGGGCAGACAACCATTTTTGTGCTGCTGGGAATTCTGTGCCAAAGCCTGAAATTTATCACTAAATAAGTCATAATCTGAAAACTATTTAACAATATTTTAGTACATTTAAGGGAATTAACATATATATTTTACTGAATCACAGATGCATGCATAAACATTATGTTAAAAACAATGAGTATAAAACTAAAGTGGCAGATTCTAATCAAGGTCACATTGACCTTGCACTTGACTACATTTGTAACCAACAGCATATTCTTGCTATTGACAAACCTTTAAATCAACAGATCTTGACCAACTTTCCCATCAAATATGAGAACAGAGGACCATACCATATAGATGTTTATGAGACACCGAGAGATCTACCAACTTTAGAAGAACAATATACCTTGATTTTAAATCAAGAAATTATCATAACCAGAACTTGCTACAAATATCTCCATAGGTAACCTTCCTTATTTTATTGGCCTGGAGCAACCGTCTTGCCTGTCTGACTGAAACTATTTATATAACTTTAAAGAGAACCATACATAGATTATTCCAGTGAAGTTTAGTCAAAATCAAACCAGAGGTTTTTAGATGTTATTCAAAGAAATGTGGATAACAAAACATGATGAAAGTAAACAAGAAACTACAGATTATTAAAAAATTCAACTCTAACCACTTTGTTTTTGTTTACTCAGCTGTAATTACCTTTAATAGCTAGCTTTCCTGAAAATGCTGGATACAGTGTGGCAAATATAGCTATATCAGCAACTGTCAATTGCTCCTGTAATTAATCCATGATATAATCTATGACAATTAAATAACCTCAAAAGAAAACAACTTTATCACATTTAAGATTTGATATTGTGTCAAGCCACTGTAAGCCCTGTCTCAGAGAGAACATTAATTCTGTGTATAATTAGGATGTTAATAGGCAGTAACAAGATGATTATTTGATTAAAGCCAGAGGCTGGGCCTATTACACATCACCCATGGATTAATCTACAAATATGTAGTTTCATGAATGAATATCAATATCTTATGTTGGAAAGATAAAGGCTTCACTTCCTTTCATCTATTAAGCAACAAATTTATCTGTTATAGCTTTCAAAGTATGATTTGATGATGTGAATATCTATCTGCCGGTCATCTGGATTACAATATTGGCATACAGTCAACTATCGTTATCTCGACATCGCTTTTCTCGATATTTCGTTATCTCGATGAAATTTTGAAAGTCCGGATTTTCTCCATTCTATATCTGTATTGGATTTATTTGTTTATCTCGATATATTTATTTTTTCAGTATCTCGAAGTAAAATTTCAGCCCCAACAGTTATTTTCACACTATTATCCTTTGTTTATCTCGACTTATAATTTTTCGTCTGTCCTCTGCAGGGGTGTGAAAAACACAAACCAAACAATAATTGCTCAATAGCGCGTGTCATAATGATGAATATGTTTGTAACAAGTCAAGCTGTTATTATAAAAGTAAATCTTATTAGCGTGTTGATTGATTTATGTCCAAGAGGAGGGAATTTTCCGTTATTTATAAAATTTTGGAACACTGCATTAAAATTCATTATTACTTTAAATGAAAATGAAATATCGAAAGTATAGAAACGTTATCGTTGCAATATTGTTTCACAACATCACAAATATTCAAACAGCGGTCGAACAATCGAGAAGGACCTGATAACCCACCCGGGAGGATATCTGGATCGACCATGCTAAAACACAGTTTTCACTGTAGTTTTGTATTACTGAGTAAACCTCACTATGTGTTTTTATCACAGAAATCTATATTCCCACTGGTAAACATCCGCTTATGTAGCTTTGTTAAATATTGACTTAGCGATATTAGGCTCAAGAAAACACAACATGGAGGTATCATATTTAGTTCATTTGACGTAAGTTATGCAATTGTCTTTTGTAAAAACAAGTTTCTGCCTTGATCAAACCTAATACGTTTATCTCGACATTTTGTTATCTCGATATTTTTTGGACAGTCCCAATGACTTCGAGATAACGAGAGTCGACTGTAATTCTTATTTTATGTATGTACAAAGTAAAGAGAATGCTAGATCCAACAGCTTTTATCAAAACAATGCTCCCCTACTGTCATTTAAGCTTGGTATGGGGGTTATTTTTTTCAGAAAAGCGAAAAATTGAACAGAATAAATCCATTGAAATCACAATTATTGATGGATTCTTGTAGAAATACAACAGGTATTTTTGGGGAAATACTATCACTTGAATGATAAAGATTATGGGAAAATATTTTACTACACAAAGAAATAAAGCATACAATCAGATAAGGATGACAATATCATGGTGAGTAGGACAGCTATTCATGTACTTTGAATAGTCAAGTTAAAAATAGCTCAGACAAAACTTGGTGACGAAATGAAGGACACAAATAATGAATGGCCCTATAATATTAACAAGACTTTAGATTAATGTCAGGATAAGAGAATAAGGGATTGTAGGCATAATTATGCTAGAGGAGTGTAGGCATTATTATGCTGGGGGAGTGTAGGCATTATTATGCTAGGGGAGTTTAGGCATTATTATGCTAGGGGAGTGTAGGCATAATTATGCTAGGGGAGTGTAGGCATTATTATGCTAGGGGAGTGTAGGCATTATTATGCTAGGGGAGTGTAGGCATTATTATGCTAGGGGAGTGTTGGCATAATTATGCTAGGGGAGTGTAGGCATAATTATGCTAGGGGAGTGTAGGCATTATTATGCTGGGCTAGTGTTGGCTTAATTATACTAAGGGAGTGAAGGCATTATTATGCTAGGGGAATGTAGGCATAATTATGCTAGGGGAGTGTAGGCAATATTATGCTGGGCACTAGTTGGCTTAATTATACTAAGGGAGTTAAGGCATAATAATGCCAAGTACATTCTTACCCCAGCAATATATTCTTTTCCTTTAAGCTCTGTATCAAGGTGTTTTATGTGAGACTTCACATTCTGTATGAGACTATCATCTGTCTTATTTTTCTCTACACTTGTAAGCAAGTAAGAAAACACTGATGGCTGGAATACAAATAAGACTGTTTATAAAAATTTTCTTAAACTAAACAAATTCCTGACAATGATCAGTGATGTTTATTTACAGTCTACATACTTTACCTTATAAATACAAGAAAAGATATATATTTCATTAAGTAAGTAATTTTTAGTAATTGCATTTTATAGTCTAAGTTTCATGCTTACGCACGTTCACCGACTTTACAGCTATTACCCATGGTCATCGGGCTACTGGTATCTATCTATCAATCTCCTTGGGGAGTCTTTTAACTCCGCTTAGTGCAGCCGACACTTGGCGCAACGGAATTATACCACCCTCGCAGGTACCCATTTACACCTGGGTGAAGTGAAGCAATCGCAGGTAAATTTCTTGCTCAAGGAAATTAGCAGTGCCCCTGGTGGGGTTCGAACCCGGGACCTCTCGATCCCTAAGCGCGCGTCCTACCACTGGACTACTGCTCCTACATTAAACACTGTTCATTTCAGGAAAATCAAAATAAATGAATCTAGCCGAGTTCAATATTACCCTTTTAAACCCCTAGACTTTTTCCAAAGTGGCACAGAATGTCTGCTAGACCTAACCTGATTTACACTGCACCAAACATTTTCAAGACAAATTATAGTACACAATACCTTTATGACTAAACGTTGAGTCTTGCTTTCCCTTTCAATTTCTTTTATTTAAAGTTTTATTTGCATGTACTTTATATATGGAAAACCAAAATTTAATGAAACATGTTATTGGCTACAATATCCTTTTTTTATCCGTATACACATATTCCACCAAACATACACCAAAATTGATTAAATGGATTAAATTAAACATAGTAAAGAATAATATAGTTCATATAAACAACATAAATATTGCTTCTCTTTTTTGCACATCAATAGGTCTTCTTTTTTATAAATACTGTAAAACAATGGTGGCTAAAATAAACTAAATTAGATGACAGATGCCTTAATCAAAATTTGGGTCAACACATGTTCAGCACAAATGTTAACCCAAATTTTGATTTTTTAAAGAATAATTTACCCAGTAATTTCATTTTTCTTCAATCTGTTCAAGAATTACAGAGCGAACACTGAACTGTTAATGGATGGAGAAACATTCTAGCACACTTACAAAGAGGCATGCACTCTCCCAGTCTAACCACTGATCTACAGCTGATTCATTATCCTCTACAACAACATCTGATAGTAAAAATCTTGCTGCAGCATTACATGAGAACAGGAACTTGTCAGGATGCACTTCAAGGACCGGTAATCTTCTTTCACTCAAATATTTCACAACACGTTCTGTAAAACATATATCAACTTCTTTGATCAATGAGAAAGATAACATTTCCCATGCTGATAGTAGCAAAATACATGGCCTCAGAAAGCTACAGTACTACAACATACATTTAATTATCTTTTTATTATATATATGTCTTTCAATTGTAAGACTAAGTGTTTCTATTTACTGAGCTTGTATCAGTTATTTCAAAAACGGAAATACACCTGTCAAGTAAAAAAATTCATAAAAGGCATATGAATACATAAAAAGGCCATCATCTAAATCATATTGGACCTTCATGATTTGCGTGAACTTCAGTGATAAAATTTATAGGTATAAATAGCTTAACTTACCATCACTGTTCACATATATCACTTCTAATGGAACATTACTGATTTCACCTGCCACAAATAACTTTAATGTCTGAAAGTTTCCTTCGTCTGTATACAACTTCATTTTTACACAGCTGAAAGAATGAATGAATTATCATTATAGGTAGGACTATACTTTTGAACATTTAAGTTCTAACAGATTTAATTCAACATTATATTAGCAAAATTTGAATTCATGTGAAAAATCCCATTCAAGCAAGATCTTTACTGGACTTTCTTACAGGGATGTAACCCTGGGCTGGGATGTAACCCTGGGCTCTATTTGAGGATCATTTCTAAAATGAAGATGTCACCACTGATACAAATCACTAAAATGAAACATGAAATATTGTTGTTGTTTTTCATATTTTATGGTGGCAATAGGAGACAATATGTTTTCAACTAGACAGGTATTGATAAATTAACAAAATCTAAATGTCACTTTGATACAATGATTATACGTTTTAATGCAAATTAATTACATTATAGAGTGATACACATCTGATCAGTAAAATTGTAGCTTATATTTAATTAGCCATGCTTTATATCTTAAATCTGCACAAAACCATGAAATAAAAAATTTCAAAATATGTATTGACTAAACAGCAAACAGTGCAAACCATTATCAGACTGATATCAGACTGATATTTACATGTATACAGAAAAACAAGTTATGATATCAATTTGACGATATATCATAACATAATTAAATTATTAAAACACATAAATCTCATTTTATAAAAAAAATAATTTTCAATTTAATCTAAAAAATTGATGCTGAATTTATAAATAATACTATCATATTAATATATCAATCATTCAGAGTCACAACAGCTTTTTATCTAGAGTATACCTTTACACTTTGTTAATAACTGTTGAATTTACACTTTGTTAAGATCTATTGAACATCAACATTCTCCATAAATAAACTACATGCCTCAGGCATATAACAAAACTTTTATGCTTTCTGTTTTTAAACTATTGCCATGCTGACTTCAGTCCAATATGATATATCACAGATAGTTAAATAAATTTAATAATCACATTATAAATAAACTTTGAATCAAGTTCAATCTTATAATCCATGTTTCAAAGCACAAGGGACCATAACCCTACATTATGTAAAGAGAAAATTACAAAAGCAATGACCCAATAACGTACATCAGTTTTATACAAGCATAAACAACTGACCATATGCTATCATATCACCTAAAGCATGTACATTGTGCTCCTAATAACACTGTCTACGATACAATCTTGTCCAAATATAGATTAATTAGTCATTCATTGTAAGATGAAAGAACCACAAGAAAATGTTTCTCAAATACAAAGACATCTCAAATACAAGAAAGACTATGTTACAAAGTTTCACAGGAAGCAATAAAACATCTTATGCATTTGTTCAACATGCAGAAGTACATACTTTGTTCATTATGACAGAAAAGTACAAGAAATTAAGAAAAGCTATTATTGCAATGCATATTTATATAATGTTGCAGTTTTAGGATTTTGTTGAAACAATTCTAAACATGAATTCACACCAAAGATGGTGAATACTTTGACCAGTGCTTTAACATATATAGGGAGATAATTAAAATTCATATACTTTCATTGAAATACAAGAGCCATGTTAGCATGGCCATCCCCCTCTGAATGTGTTTGCTCATTGTAAGAATGTATATATAGTAGAGCAGAATAATTCAATCTAAAGAGGTCTTTTGGTAATGACTAGAACTCCGCAAGTTGGATGTGTCGCCTTTGGGAAACAATATAGTTTGGGAGAAATGGCCAGGACAAAAATGAAATATGAAAATTAACAAAGGGCAATAACTCAAAAAATAAGAAATGCAGAGTAGCAGTTTCTGCGCACTGCATTTCTAATCAATAAGATCTATCATCCTATGAAGTTTCAAGTCTATAGCTTTTATAATTTATGAGAAATGGCCTGGACAAAAATAAAGTATGAAAATTAACAAAGGGCAATAACTCAAAAAATAAGAAATGCAGAGTACCGGTTCTTGTGCACTGCACTTCTTCCTAATGAGATCTATCATCCTATAAAGTTTCAAGTCCATAGCTTTTATACATTAGGAGAAATGGCCCGGACAAAAATAAAGTATAAAAAGTAACAAAGGGCAATAACTTAAAAATTAAGAAGTGCAGAGTACCTGTTCTTGTGCACTGCACTTCGGGTCGTTATAAGAAGCATGCATACCAAGTTTGAAGTCAATCCGACTTAAAATGACTGACTTATGCTCTGGACAAGCTTAAGGGGACGCCGACGCGGACAATGACGCCGCCAACGCCCACAAAAGTAAACCCCATATAGGTCGCCTTTTTAAAGGCGACACAAAAACTGATCCAGATTTGAAACCTATGTGAATACTGATGGCTGAAAATAACAAAGGGCAATAACTGAAAAATAATGCAGGGTAGGTTATCATTTTGTGTGCTGCACTCATCCTCAATGAGATCTATCCACCTATGAAGTTTCAAGTTGATACCTCTAACATTTTTTGAGATAAGCTCTGGACAAAAAGTATGAAAAATAACAAAGGGCAATAACTAAAAAATTATAACGGGTAGAGTTATCAATGTTGCGTACAGCATTCCTCCTCAATAAGATCTATCCACCTATGAAGTTTCATGTTGATATCTCGAAGGCTTTTTGAGTTATGCTCTGGACAAAAATTAAGTTTGAAAAATAACAAAGGGCAATAACTGAAAAATTATGCAGGGTAGAGTTATCATTCTTGTGCAATATGATCTATCTACCTATATTTATTGGTGTATATTTGTTTCTTATCTTTCATTCTAAATGATTGTACTTTAAATACTTTTTTTATGAAAACTAAGTCTTAAGTTATCGCCTGCACATCTGTAATTACACCTCTCTACATATCAAAGGGAATGTGGTCTGCATGACCTTTGACAGGTGTCATTCAAGTTAACTTTCTGAAAAATTATAAATTTAATTTAAAACATGTAATGACCTAACAATGCTTTGTTGTCCATCAAGAATAATTATGGATTATAAATTGTACCCAGTTTTATCTAGCACCGCTAATTGTCAGTATTATGAAGTAAGTGGATGAGTGACTTTGCCTAAAACAAATATTAAAGCGATTTTAAAGTCTACTGATTTTTTTATGATCTATCATCATATCTATTTACTACACTAGGTCTGTTTTTAACTTGTTAACTTTTCAATTACAACCAATTACCGTTAATTCGCTTGTTTAGAACGCGTATCAACCATCAACAAATGACCAATCGGCGACACACTAACATGTTACAACTATTAATTGACAACAACACAAATGGCGATGAACACAATCAATTTTCGCTGGTTACATGATTAAAGACACTGGCATATACAGTGCCCATCAAAAGTCTGGAGACAACCAACAATTTACTGATTTTTGTGTAAAATTGGCAAAATTTGTCTATAAAGTGCAGTTTTATTGTTTGAAATATAACATTACCTCCCTTTATTAACTTTTGGCAAAAAAAAATGTTAAGAAAGTCATAAAATTTTTATATCTTTATGACAGACTTACAGTTTTACATATTTTTAGGGAAAACTGATAATTAAGTAGTAATTTCGATCACTTCAAAACATTTGGATTATCCATAAAAATTGTCTGCCCAAATATGAACATAACATCCATGGTCAGTCTAGTGAATATTCCACTACAAAACAATGGTTTCGTATGAAGACAGAGTGCGCTGTGAAGCCCTGAGGAGTCAAGGAGTTGCTGTTGCAGAAATTGCCAACATTCTGGGAATAGGAAGGTTAGTGACTTAAAATTATCATTTTTTTTTCAATTTTTTTCACGTGCTGAATACATAAAAATTCTTATGTAGCTTTGGATGTCTTTTCTTTGCCTAATTTTCTTGTTCTTCTTCCAGATCCACTGTTTACAAGATCCTGGAACGATTTGAGGTTACTGGAAGTCACCAAGATCGACCTCGTTCAGGCCGTCCAAAGACCTCTACACTAAGAGATGATCGCTTACTTATCAGACAGTCTCTACAAGACAGGAGACTTACTGTTCCATTGCTCAAGAGGTCATGGGAATTGGCTGGAGTTAATGCTTCACATTCCACAGTTTGTCGTAGACTTCAGCAAGTTGGATTACAGAGTCATCGAGCCATTAAGAAGCCACTACTGACCAATGCTCATAGAGAGAAGCGTTTGGCTTTTGCTAGAGCACATGCTGGCTGGACATGGGTGGATTTGTCCACTGTTTTGTTCACTGATGAGAGCAAGTTCAACATGTTTCAGACAGATGGACCAATTCTTGTTAGACGACGTCCAGGTGAAGCTCTTTTGGACAAATGTGTTGTGTCAACAGTTAAATTTCAAGGTGGTGGAATCATGGTATGGGGTGCCATGAGCTACCGGTGAACTGGTATTCTGAAGGTCGTGAATGGAAACTTGAATTCCCATGGTTACATTGACATTTTGAACAATTGTGCCATACCATCAGCTCATCTGCTAGGGTATGGAGATGAGTTCTGGTACCAAGATGATGGTGCCCCATGCCACCCGGCCAAGATAGTGAAAGAATGGCATTCCCAGAACAGCATTAGGTGCTTGGAGAACTGGCCACCACAGTCTCCAGACCTAAACCCCATCGAAAATTTGTGGCATGACATCAAAACGAAGCTCAGGAACAAGCATCATGGTAATCTGAGAGAACTGTCAGTCAATGTGTGTGATTCCTGGAATGAGTTGACAGTTAACAGATGTAGAACATTAGTAAAGAGTATGCCAAGAAGAATTCAAGCCGTTTTGGCAGCTAAGGGTGGACACACTAAGTACTAACTGTATGACCTTTTCTGTAGTGCTTTTGTTGGTTGTTGTGCTATAAGTCTAAATGAGACAATATTTGGCATTTGATACTATTTTATCTAAGTTGTGTATTGTTTTTGTGATGATATATGACATGAATGAATTGTTATGTGTTATTATACATTCAAATTGAATTAAATTGAATATTTTGTCAAGAATACTTGATTTTATTTACTTGTCTCCAGACTTTTGATGGGCACTGTATGTAATTGTTGCGGTGTTTTGGAGAGTAAATTTATGACAATGCCCAACGTCTAAGTTGTGAATATAAGCTAAAACTTGATTGCTAAAAACCATCGGAGCACAAACTGGTCAGACTTCCCAAAAGTTAAAAAAAAAGTGTCAGACATTCGATCTGACAAACCATGAAAATCTGTCAGACCGAAACGAAATCTGTCAGACCGATTAAAATTAATCAAAATCAAAGGAAAAGTTTTGTTTGTTTTTCTAAGACACTTTTCGGTTTAAATTTTTTGCCGTTAAAAAAAACCGGCACAAGTCAGTACAGCATATTTTCACCTCCTCCCTATCACACACCAATGATTCACAGACTGCTTCCAAATTTTTTCATTAAATTTTCTCTCTGGTCTATTTTTTTTATCCTTTTACTGTTCTGTGCCCTCCTCTGACTTAGATTTTCGTTTTTACCCAGGTTTGGCATCTTTAGCAATGCCATTTTGTATACATGCTACTTGCATAAAAGCCGGGCATTCTGACCAATCCGGAATAAATTTTTTTAGTGCTTTATATAATTCTAGGTCCAACTAAATTTGGTGCTTTATATAATTCTAAGTCCAACTAATTAGACTTGTCAGAGAGATATCAAGATATCAGTGTCTGTAAAATTGAATTTGAAATTAAAATAACTTCAAACTATATACTTATTTCTTTAATTTATGTAATGAAATTTCTTCATTTTAATCTTCAGTTTGAAATGAAAACAACTTTCACAATTTTCATTGAAAATCTTAAAATTTATGGATGGTACAGTGTAATTGTGTATGATGCAATCTTACTGAAAGACCTTAGTGCTACAGATATGTTAATGATCTTACTTTCTTTACGAATAAAATATAACACCGTTATCATATTTTTAAGAGTAGGCTTTGTGAAAAAGATTACATCCCCCATTCAATTCCATTCTTTTATACTAATTCAAATAAAAAACGATCACTGGTGATGTCCGAGGACTAGTACATATTTCCACTAAGTACGTTAGCAGTTCTTGTTACTTTCGCATAATTTATATTGTGCGACACAACTTATACTAACATATTAGAATACAATGTAATAGAAGAAGTAATTTAAACCACAAAATATACACTATTCACTAAAAAAACTTACCGTTATTCAGAAGTCACGTTGCATCTGTGGCTGATAATAGGAGTATATTTCGGACAGTAGTTATCGGACAAGACACGGTCTCCGCAGATGTCAACGGACGGTCTCCGACTTTAGAGTCGACAGAGACCGTAAATAATTTTTACTACTCGTTTGTATCCAACATATTTTCTGATATGGCACAGGCACACAGCAACGGAACGACCTTGAGATAAATCCTTATTATGGCCTGCAAAAATGCTATAATTAAGAGATTGCTAGGACTTAGAAAAACGAATTAGGACATAATTCTCAAATATCATTTTTTAGATCTGTTATTCATAATAAGGAACTTTAAAAGCCTAATAATGACTTTTTAAACCCCGAATTAGGACTTAATTCTTGAAACAGGTCAGACTCACATATTTAGGAGTTAGAAGCATATATAGATAGGACAAATTTACTCCTTAATAAGACTTTAAAACTGTGACTCCTAGATGAGAACTTGTAAAAAAAACAAATAAGTACTTTATGAAGTCCTAGTTAGAACTTACTTGTTTAAAATAAGTCGTTTAACTTGTGGCATCTAAATTGGTCTCTGGTCTGAGCTTTGGCTTCACCAAATAGATGTCACCCAATGGTCTTCCTTATATCTACATCATGTACATGTATGTATGTATTCTAGGCTTGGTGATTGCCCATTTGCCCAAAGTTTCAGGCTTTCAACAAACACCTTATAATCAAAAACTTCCTTAGAGACTTACCAGCCCTAGTCTCCATGTAAAGGCCCTATACAAAACAATGGTCCTCACATTACTGTTAAAGAGCCTTATCCTTGTTTTCAGGTGGGCATTAGATTCTTTCACACTGGCCTCAAGGTTGCATTATTATATGACTTAATGCATAACAATATAAAACAAGAGGGCCATGATGGCCCTGAGGTCGCTCACCTGTATATAGGCCCCCCCAACCCCCACTCCCCCAACGTTGCAGAGCCAATTTAACCCAAGGGCTTTTATTTGCACAAACTTGGTAGACACCCATAAGAAGATGTTTCATGCTAAACATTTAAGTTCTAGCTCATTGGGCTTTTTAAAAGAAGATTTTTTTTAGTTTTTACTATACACATATAGTTAAAAACAATGACACCCCTGGGGCCGGGCCAGTTTTGACCCCAGGGCTTTTATTTGAACAAACTTTGTAGACACTTACTAGAAGATGTTTCATGCTTAATATCTAAACTCTAGCTATTTGGGTTTTTTCAAAGAAGATTTAAAGTTTTTGCTAAACACATATAAAGAAAATCAATGACCCCCGGGGCGGGGCCAATTTTCACCCCTGGGCTTGTATTTGAACAAACTTGGTAGACACCTATTAGAACATGTTTGATGCTCAATATCTTAGCCATAGCTCTTTGAGTTCTTTAAAAGAAGATTTTTTAAAGTTTTTACTATATGCATATAGGGAAAATCAATGACCCCCCCGGGGCGGGGCCAATTTTGACCCCAGGGCTTTTATTTGAACAAACTTGGTAGACACCCATTAGAACATGTTTCATGCTAAATATCTTAGCTCTTACTCTTTTGGTTCTTTAAAAGAAGATTTTTCAAGTTTTTACTATATGCATATAGGGAAAATCAATGACCCCCCGGGGCGGGGCCAATTTTGACCCCAGGGCTTTTATTTGAACAAACTTGGTAGACACACACTAGAAGATGTTTCATGCCAAATATCTAAGCTCTAGCTGTTTGAGTCCTTTAAAAGAAGATTTTTAAGTTTTTACTATATGCATATAGGGAAAATCAATGACCCCCGGGGCGGGGCCAATTTTCACCCCAAGGCTTTTATTTGAACAAACTTGGTAGACACCCATTAGAACATGTTTCATGCTAAATATCTTAGCTCTAGCTCTTTGGGTTCTTTAAAAGAAGATTTTTTAAGTTTTTACTATATGCATATAGGGAAAATCAATGACCCCCGGGGCGGGCCAATTTTGACCAAAGGGCTTTTATTTGAACAAACTTGGTAGACACTTACTAAAAGATGTTTCATGCCAAATATCTAAGCTCTAGCTCTTTGAGTTCTTTAAAAGAAGGTTTTTTAAGTTTTTACTATATGCATATAGGGAAAATCAATGACCCCCGGGGCGGGGCCAATTTTGACCCCAGGGCTTTTATTTGAACAAACTTGGTAGACAACAATTAGAACATGTTTCATGCTAAATATCTTAGCTCTAGCTCTTTGGGTTCTTTAAAAGAAGGTTTTTTAAGTTTTTACTATATGCATATAGGGAAAATCAATGACCCCCCGGGGCAGGGCCAATTTTGACCCCAGGGCTTTTATTTGAACAAACTTGGTAGACACTCACTAGATGATGTTTCATGCCAAATATCTAAGCTCTAGCTCTTATGGTTTTTTAAAAGAAGATATTTAAAGTTTTTTCTTTCGGTTGCCATGGCAACCAGAGTTTTGCATGGAATTAAATTCTTTGAACAATTTTTAAAGGTGACCACCAAAGGAACATTCCTGTGAAGTTTGGATGAAATTGGCTTAGTGGTTTATGAGGAGATGTCATTTAAAGTATAAGTTTACGGACGGACGGACGGACGCCGGACGAAAAGCGATCACAAAAGCTCACCCTGCCACTTTGTGACAGGTGAGCTAAAAAGCCTTGTAGACTTCTACAAAAAATTAAAGCATACCCATTTAAATGGGCTAAAAATAACATTTGGCATGTTGTAGTCTACAAAACATAGGGCTGTGAAATTTATATATAATTCTTACGATATTTGTATATCAAAAATTTTTAAAAACCCTTCTGAAACTACAATGCCCAAAGCATTGATACTTGGCAGGTACATATGTAGCATCACTTTACCCCCTTGGGTCAAAGTGTACTTGGTCTTCTTACTAAAACTAACCAAAATCATCTTTGGTCCTCTATAAAAGTTTTAGAAATCACAACTATAACAATACAACAATTTTCATAATTTTTAGTTCAAAATATTATCAAATTCTTGGAAGATATATCAGTATATAGAAGATATACCACTTGCTACATTTTATCACACTGGGCCATGTCAACAAAATGTATATAGTAGTGACTATATAAGAAATATATTACACATACATAGAAAACATTGATAATATAAATATGTATACACAATCAAACAATTTAGATTTTTACAGAGACATAGATAACAGAGATAGGCAACTTCCTAGCCAGTTAAAATATCACGCGTGCCTGCTAAACTTAAAACTTGTAGCAAGTAAAACTTATTAACAAGATATCAAAATCAGTAAAATAATACAATATCTGAAAGCATATGCATTTGTCTATGGTTGCAGATAAAAATATTTACGGTTTCCATTTAAATAAATGATACATCAATTGTTAAAGAGAACTACTTAATTATTTTTGTTACACAACTATTCATATGACGAAAAACCTGGCTCAGTGGGTATGTTCTGCTATGTTTTTCTAAGTGAAAGGCATGGAAAGTTACCAATATTTTAACATGCAGCAATAGATAAAAGATTTACCTTTCAAATGGTATATAATATTAAAGGATCAAATGTACATCCATTAAGTTTTATTTGCTACAAAATGCCTATTTTTTACTTTTTGATAGGCATGAGTGATATTTCAATGGGGTATATAGGAGCTGCTTATCTCTGTTATCTATGTCTCTGGATTTTTACCACTTATTTTTATTTAATAAGTATATGTATGGTGTTTAAAAATGCAGGAAAAATAAATTCACTGATCAGGTAATATTAAAAATTGTAGATAAGATCAGAAGAAAGACAGCACATATCTACCAATAAAAGAAATTCATCTATGATCTATAAAAATAGAATAAATCACAGAAGTTAAACTAAAACTAAATTGACTTTAATTATACTTATGACGCTTATGTTTTGATTTTTTATTCACAGTCAAGATTTCACTTTGTTTAAAATCTGAATCTCGTTTATCCCTTTTGTGTGTCTTTGATACATGCTTTTTATGTTTCTTCTTCCTTTTTCTATGAGAATTCTCCTCTTTATCACTGTGATAATTTCTTTTATCTGTCCACTCTTCTGTTAAACATTTTTCTTGTTTTTCATGTTTATGTTTTCTATTAGGCGAACTACATTCTGACTGAGATCTGTGTTTATGTTTTCTTTTAGATGAGCTTGATTTTGACTTTGATCTCCTTTGTTTTCTGTGAGAAACATTGTCTGAACTATCCGATGAAGAACTACTTGATTCTAACATTGACTGAAGTTCCTTTACCCTGGAAAAGAAATATAAAGAATCACTTGTTACATTTTACTCACACCCTGGCATACACATAAACAATTTATATATATGTTGGTGGCCAAGTAGTTAAGGTTAACAACCTTTTAACCACTTAGCCCTCACCGCTGCGTTTTCAAGTCCTGCCTGACACTTTTGACTCTTTCTTGTAAGGAAGTTATCCTGCTAGCTTCCTGATTGTCAATGGTTTTATACTCAGGTGCCAGTTTGTGCCTGAAAAAATACACAGAGGGCCACCTGAGGTCTTTCTCCACCAGTAAAGATGGAAAGTCGCCATATGACCTATACAGTATCAGTGCTAAGTAAAACCAAACAACAATAACAACAACAACAAAACAGTAATGTATTGTTTTGGTCTGATGGCATTAGTATTTACTAATAATATTCATAGACATTTTGACAAACTTTGATAGGTAATTTAATCAAAACTTTGACTGCTAGCACCAAAAATAATCAGCCTTTTGCCACATGTACATAGCAAGGGCAGTCTGACCAAGCTCTTTATGGTTAGCTATTTTTTTAATTCGGATATTGAAATCCCATACACTTTGATTGGACTGTTCCAAATTCAAAGCTGTGCAAATCCATTACACAAATTCAGCAGCCTAAACTTGACAATGGACACAAAGTCACTGTCCAACCACAAGAGCTCATTCTGTCACTTTGTACTGAGTCAGTTAACAAATTAAATAATCTAACCTGTCCTCTTTATCTTTTATTCTCTGTTGTTTGATATAATTATACATTGGATCTTCATAACTCTGAAATCATAATTTATTTTACTACAAGTTATTTATTTACTTTTAACCAGTGAAAATGATTAAAATCGAGACTTATACAAAATAGGGTGTAGATACCCTACATCACTTATTAGATAAAATTTTGATTGGTTGTTGTCCATGAAAATTAATGATTATAATAAATTTATCTGCGAAAACATTTCAAGGGAAACAATTGATATTAAAATTAAATCAAAGTATCCTATATAGTAACATCAGTGTATATCGGTGCTGGGGCTTCAAAATGTAAGATATTGTAGTTTTTCAAATTTAAGCTCTGATGAATCCTAATTGGTGTAAACTTTTTTACCTGAAAAATTTACAACCAAATTTGTGCTGATCTATATATAGGTTTATAAAATGATTTATTTAAAATCAAAACTTTCTTTCGCTGTTACAGTCCCATTTTGACTAATACAATAGTGTACAAAAGTGATAATCAAGACCCAGTCATCTCCCTTGTTTTCATTTTGAAGTCTTCTTTTATCGTCTGTTGCTTAAATAAAGTCATTATACCATAATTGAAAGAATTTTCAAAATGACCTACAATGGCTACATGTGAAGTCTGGTAATTATCAAAATCTTAATTTGGTTCATTTTCTTTATACATGAAACTGTACCATGAAATAACATGGCTGTGACCTTGTAAGGCTCAAAGGCACAATCCTTGTTAGTGGCATATAAGTAACTATCTGATAGTACAACAAAAGAATACAAGTGAAAAGTGAGTTGTCACTTGTTGAGGCTATATAATTTCAACAGTTTATTAGTTTTATAATTCAATATAAATACAAACCCATCTAAATCTTTGTGACTGTAGTTGGAAACTTTCATTACCACCATCTGTATTTTTCTCTTCAACTGCCCTTGTGTCTTTCACTAGAAAAAAATCAACATGTAAAACTTCAAACAACTAATCTAAGAGTAGTCTCCATATACAGTGGGCACATCTACTAATAGTTCATTCATATAGGTTCATCAAAATATAAACAATTAGTTTACCAAAAAATCTGAGTCATGGCATTAAGTTATGTAAATCACCTGGAATAGCTGGAAAATGAGGGCAAGGAGACAATACATTTGATGAAGTTTATTACCCACCATAGGTCTTATGGTTACTTTCAGCTTTTACTAATGGAGAGAGATCTAAGGTGTCCCTTTATCAATTATTTCAGACAGATGGCACCTAATTAGAACCACAAACCTTCAGTATGCTAGCTGCATCAAACTATCTACCTTCAGATCATTAGCCATACCTGAGTTGAACCAGCAACCTTCAGTATGCAAGCCATACCAGAGTAGAACGGTAAACTATCAACCTTCCGTTTGCAAGCCACACTTGAAAAGATCACCAACCTTCAGAATGCCAGCAGCCAATGAATATAACCACCAACCTTCAGAATGCCAGCAGCCAATGAATATAACCACCAACCTTCAGAATGCCAGCATAATCTGAGTATACCACCAACCTTCAGAATGCCAGCATAATCTGAGTATATCACCAACCTTCAGAATGCCAGCATAATCTGAGTATATCACCAACCTTCAGAATGCCAGCATAATCTGAGTATATCACCAACCTTCAGAATGCCAGCAGCCAATGAATATAACCACCAACCTTCAGAATGCCAGCATAATCTGAGTATACCACCAACCTTCAGAATGCCAGCATAATCTGAGTATATCACCAACCTTCAGAATGCCAGCATAATCTGAGTATATCACCAACCTTCAGAATGCCAGCAGCCAATGAATATAACCACCAACCTTCAGAATGCCAGCATAATCTGAGTATACAATGTACCACCAACCTTCAGAATGCCAGCATAATCTGAGTATATCACCAACCTTCAGAATGCCAGCATAATCTGAGTATACCACCAACCTTCAGAATGCCAGCATAATCTGAGTATATCACCAACCTTCAGAATGCCAGCATAATCTGAGTATATCACCAACCTTCAGAATGCCAACATAATCTGAGTATATCACCAACCTTCAGAATGCCAGCATAAATCTGAGTATATCACCAACCTTCAGAATGCCAGCATAATCTGAGTATATCACCAACCTTCAGAATGCCAACATAATCTGAGTATATCACCAACCTTCAGAATGCCAGCATAATCTGAGTATATCACCAACCTTCAGAATGCCAACATAATCTGAGTATATCACCAACCTTCAGAATGCCAGCATAATCTGAGTATATCACCAACCTTCAGAATGCCAGCATAATCTGAGTATATCACCAACCTTCAGAATGCCAGCATAATCTGAGTATATCACCAACCTTCAGTACACTAGCTGCACCCGAGTAGAACCACTACAGTTCAGTATGCAAGGCACACCTAACAAGCAATTATCATAGTATTGCAAGCAATCCATAAGTCCCCTACCGGATAGAACCCCATCAGCATTCTGAAGGGCCATTGGCCATTCACTAATGTGTAAATTTTTCTCTATTTTAAGTAAATTTGTTGGAAATGTTCTTTAAAAGTGATCACAGGAAAAAGTTTTTATGAACAGACAGACAGACGAACTGAAGGACACTCTAAATTTAATATTTGAAACATCCCTGTTACCAAAATATAACATTTTAAAAAGCAAAATTCTTAAAGAGGAGATAACTCTGGAATTAAAGATGCAATTTCATAAAAAGTTTCAGCTCTTTTTGACTAGTCACAAATATTGTTATATTTGCCATGCTTTAAGCCTATTTGTTGCCAAGGCAACCAATATTTTTTCAAAATAGGGGGAACTGATAAGACCTGCATAATCTCAAGATTGCCATCTACCCATATGTCAAGTTTCATAAAAATATTTCCAGTACTTTTTGAGTTACCACTGGATTCAGTTTATGTGTAAAATTTGCCATATTTTCAGTCTATGTGTTGCCATAGCAACCAGAATTTTCAACATAGGAAGAAAAGAAAAAGACGTGTATAATCTCCAGACTGCCATCTACACATATTACAAATTTCATAAAAATATTTCTATTACTTTTTGCGTTAACACTGGATCCAGTTTATGTGTAAAAATTGCCATATTTTCAGTCTATTTGTTGCCATAGCAACCAGAATTTTCAACATAGGAAGAAAAGAAAAAGACGTGCATAATCTCCATACTGCCATCTATCCATATATCAAGTTTCATAAAAATATTTCCAGTACTTTTTGCGTTATCACTGGATCCAGTTTATGTGTAAAATTTGCCATATTTTCAGCCTATTTGTTGCCATAGCAACCAGAATTTTGAACATAGGAAGAAAAGAAAAAGACGTGCATAATCTCCATACTGCCATCTATCCATATATCAAGTTTCATAAAAATATTTCCAGTACTTTTTGTGTTATCACTGGATCCAGTTTATGTGTAAAATTTGCCATATTTTCAGCCTATTTGTTGCCATAGCAACCAGAATTTTCAACATAGGAAGAAAAGAAAAAGACGTGCATAATCTCCATACTGCCATCTATCCATATATCAAGTTTCATAAAAATATTTTCAGTACTTTTCAAGTTATCGCGGGATCCAGTTTTGTGGACGGACGGACTGACAGACAGACGGACGGACAGACGGACGGACAGACGGTAAACCTAAAGTCCCCTCCGGTAAACCGGTAGGGGACTAAAAAGATCACCAACGTTAAGAATGCTAGCAGCCTGTGAGTAGAACCACCAACCTTCAGTATGCAAGCCTTTGATTAAAATTGAAATTTAGTAATAAATTTGCTGCAGCTATGCATAATTATAGGAAATATACATAGCACCATTGTCCCAATGAAATCCAATGTTACAAACATTGGGTATAACAGATTAAATAGTAAACTGTTGACAAATGATGGTATAATTACCACTATGTTTGGGTATTTCCATTTTAGACGAACAACTTCATAACTGTCAAGGGTCAGCAAGCAACCTGTATTTACCAGTTTCTGCAGGAAAAAGTATCATTCTATATGTGATGATAGATCTAGTTTTGTGATATGGTCCTTTAACTATATGTATAAAATGTATAATATTCACCTAACAAATTTGAAATAAAGATACAACAGCAGCCACCGCCAAGCAGGGCCAAGTTGAACTTTTTCTATTTTCTAAAGTGAAACACATCGCAGGAAGAATATTGTGGCAAAGAATATCCCTAGAAAACAACATTTACGTTGAGAAAATATAATTCAAATTTTATATTTGACATTGACAGTCAAAGTCATTTACAGATCAAGATAATACTTCCCCAATGTGAATCAAATCTGTCCATTTGAATAGATAACAATTAATAACAATAATTCGACCTTGATGGTCAAGGACATTTATAGGCCAACATTAAACTTGTTGGGAATCAGTCAAAAAATTCATAGTTGGAAGTATGAATAAAATCTGTCAATTAATAACAAATTTATAACAATTTATGCTAAATCTATTAATTTGACATTGATGATCAGGTCAAGGTCATATTTGAATAATTCAGTAATATCAGTTTTGTCATGTTTTTGTCCAAACATAAATTAAATGGTTAAAAAATAAGAAAGTTAGGTCAATTTAAGCAAGTTTCAATAAGCTGACTTTGAGGGTTAAGGTCAATTAAAGGTCACAGTCAAATTTGAAATACTCAACATCTAAATTTTGTTATGTGGGTTCTTTTATCAAGGTATTATATAAAATCCATAAATAACAAAACATTGATTTTTTTTTTCAAAACAAGGCCATCCTTAAAAAAATGTTTGTTTGCAGTAACCTGACCCAGAATTTTCAAGGTGGGTAGGTAGGTCGATTTTTTTTTTTTATTATTGAACTGTACTCCCAAATAAACATGGAATTTCAAAATGCTGGACAATATATGCTTTGATAATATGGTAACAATTAATAAATTGATAACTGAATTCTAATTTAATAAGACCTATATTTTATTTCTTCTATTAACCTTAAAAAGAACGAAAACAAAGCACAATTTAAGGCATAATTTTCTGATTCAAAAAAAATAATTTTTTATCCAGACCATGAAAAAAATTTTGAGTAGGGGCAAATTCTGTGAGTCTGTCGTGTTACTGCAAACAAACATTTTTTTAAGGATGGCCCAACCTGTGGCTTTCTGAAGGGGAAAATATAGCATGATAAATCAGAAAAGAGGACCATTAAATTCCAACAACTGAGAATGGAATTTACCCACACATTTTATACAATTTTCAATTTCAATTCAATTTAACATGCATGGTACATAGCAGAGGCTATCTATAGGGACAGCTTTCTGTCATCTAGCTGATATGTCAGCTGCTGTTAAGGTTCTTGTAGGGCATTTTAGGGAAAAATATTAGCATTTTTAGGGGAAAATATACCTATTTTGAGCTAGGGGAAATAGCCTTTATTTGGCTGTAAAATACAGGAAAAAATTAACCGCAAAATTATGACAATCTTTGAGAAAATAACTTGACATTGAAGGTCAAGGTCATATATGTAATATTCAACATCCAGGTTATGTCATAAGCGCTCTTATCCAAACATAAATAAACAAGAGCCCGGTTTGAGCCGGGTGATGCTCCCCGAATAGGTTTTGGACACAGGAAAGTACACCTCTTGTAGTTTCAGAGTTATGTCCCTGGAAAAAGTTCAAAGTGCAATAATTCCAAAATTAGGCAAGGCAGAGTTACTGTTCTTTGCACTGCACTTCTAATCAATGTGATCTAACAACCTACAAAGTTTCTTGATGATATCTCTTATGATTTCCGAGTTATGTCCCGGACAACTTCAAAAAGTAAAAATAAACAAAGGGCAATAACTCCAGAATTAGGCTAGGCAGAGTTATGATTCTTGTGCACTGCGCATCTACCCATTGAGATATATCTACCTACAAAGTTTCATGTTGATATCTCTTATAGTTTTACAGCTATGTCCTGGACAAGATTTTTCTAAAAGGGGAGATAATTCAAAAATGAGGCTTAACAGAGTTATGGTTCTTTGCACTGCACCTCTACTCAATGAGATCTATGTACATACAATGTTTCATCTTGATATCTCTTATAGTTTTAGAGTTATGTTCCGGACAAAGTTCAAAGTGTTAAAATTAACAAAGGGCAATAACTCCAAAATAAGGACAAAAAGAGTTATTGTTCTTATGCACTGCACATCTACCCATTGAGATCTATTCACCTACAAAGTTTCATGTTGATATCTCTTATAGTTTTAGAGTTATGCCCCGGACAAGATTTTTCTATAAGGGGAGATAAATAAAAAAACAGGCAAAATAGAGTTATGGTTCTTTGACACTGCACTCCCCCTCCATGCCCTCTACCACTGTATGAAGTTTCAACAAATTATCTCCAAGGGTTTTCAAGTTATGCTCCGGACAAGACAACGGACGGACAGACGGACAAGGCGTCGACTATTATAAAATATTATAAAATCTAAATTAAAGTCAATAATTTGACCTTGATGGTCAAGGTCATTTAAGGTAAAGGTCAAATTCAATTAAATCTTCTATAATGTCTTGCCAGGTGGATTATCATGGCCTTGTTTGCAGACAATCCAGTCATGACTTACAAAAGTATTACCAATTGTAGCAAAAAACTGTTATAATTACAATAATTTGACCTTCATGGTGAAGGTCATTTATAATTCAAGATTTAAATGATATTGATTTATCTTTTCCTTGCGGTAGTTTTTTGGTAGTTTTTTGTGTCGCCTCTACAGAGTAGTGGCGACATATAGGGATCACTTCTCCGTCGTCTGTCTGTCCGTCACAAAACTTGTCTGGACTACTCCTCATAAACTACTGGTGCAATTTCATCCAAACTTTACAGGAATGATCAGTACCAAGTCTAGTTGTGCATATTGTCAGCATTTTCTGGTTCAATGATTTTTGTCAGAGTTATGGCCCTTTAATAATTTTTAATTTTAAAGTTTGTCCGAACTACTTCTCTTATACCACTAATGCAATTTCAATGAAACTTTACAGGATCGATCTGTAGCTCAAGTCCTTGCGCATATTGCACGGGTTTTCCTGTTGAATGATTTTTGGCCAAGTAACGGCCCTTTGATAAAAAGGTGTTTTTTTCTGTGTGTTGTCAGATACACAAAAGCTTGTCCGGACTACTCCTCATAAACTACTGGTGCAATTTCATCCAAACTTTACAGGAATGATCAGTACCAAGTCTAGTTGTGCATATTGTCAGCATTTTCCGGTTCAATGATTTTTGTCAGAGTTATGGCCCTTTAATTATTTTTAATTTTAAAGTTTGTCCGGACTACTTCTCTTATACCACTAATGCAATTTCAATGACACTTTACAGGATTGATCTGTAGCTCAAGCCCTTGCGCATATTGCACCGGTTTTCTGGTTGAATGATTTTTGGCCGAGTTATGGCCTTTTGATAAAAAGGTGTTTTTTTCTGTGTGTTGCCAGATACGCAAAAGCTTGTCCGGACTAGTCCTCATTAACTACTGGTGCAATTTTATCCAAACTTTACAGGAATGATCAGTACCAAGTCTAGTTGTGCACTGTCCGTCTGTCTGTCCATCTGTCACAAAATTTGTCCCAACATGAAATTGGCCATCATGAGGCGACATATGTGATTACTGATCGCTCTTGTCTAGACATCAACAGGCATGGCAACAGGAAACAACAACATGATTGTAGCAATATTTATTTCCCCCCCCCCCCCAAAAGATTTGGGCTAATTTTAAAAATAAACATAATCATTTCGATTCCCAGATTTGAGCATAGGAACTCGGAAACTGGACAGCAGATTGCATTGCATATTTTCGATCCTCTAACGGTGCTTATAAAGATGTTTCTCCTACATCAAATTATCTTTTAGTATTATCCAAGTGTATGGTCTCAAAGAATATATTATCATTAATATATATTAATGAACACAATTTGTTACTTTTAAAATTGGTAAAATTTTACAGTGTTATAAAAAAAGACTTTTTTCTACAAACCGTAAATTTAACTGATTTTTAAAACTAGCAGGTTATATTAAATTAAAGTTATATTATTAAAGAACACATACTCGGATATCATGAAAAGATATTCAAAGGTCAGACAAACAATATGTAAAGCCACAAACAGATTTGGATTTATGAGCCGCAATATGCGGTGACCTGTTCCCGAATTCCTAAGAGTTTAAGTAGGCCAGTATACAATGTATATATTTTATTGTTATTTTAGTAATTTACTAACGAAACATTTTAATTCACTCATAGTTTATAGATTATTTTTATTATATTTAAGGAAATTTGTAGAAAGAAAGGAAGACAGATAACAAGTTACTGCAGCACAAAGGTGACGTGTGTGTTTTTATTTATCTTGTGCGCACGAGATACTCTGTTGTGCCCACGAGTTACTAAGTCATGGCCACAATGTACTTATTAGTGGCCACGAGATAGTTAACTTGTGGGAACGAGATAATATGCCAGGCAACAAGTAACTAAGTCATGGGCACAAGATAAATAAGTCGTACCAGAACTTGCATCAGATAGTACCTACGACTTAACTATCTCGTCCCTAAAATTTAGTAACTCATGGCCACGACATAGTATCTCGTTCCCACGATTTAGTAACTAGTGGCCACGACTTCATAACTCGTGGCCATAACATTATCAATATCTTGTGCGCACCACTTTATTATCTGTGGCCACGACATAGTAACTCGTGGCCACAACATAGTATCTTGTTCCCATGACTTATTTCGTGCCAACGACTTAGTAACTTGTGGCCACATCATAGTTACTCATGGCCACAAGGTAGTATCTTGTTCCCAAAACTTAAGTATCTCGTGCCCACGACTTAGTTTCTGGTGGCCACGACATACATGTAGTATCTGGTTCCCACGACTTAACTATCTCGTGGTCACGACTTAATTATCCTGGGCTACGACATAGTATCTCGTTTCCACGACTAAACTATCTTGTGGGCATGACTTAGTTACTTGTGGCCACGACATAGTATCTCATTTCCATGACTTAGTAACTCATGGCCACGACTAAGTACATGTAACGTACTCCTGGCCAAAACACTTATCTCATGCGCACCACTTAATAATCTTGTGACCACGACATACATTTAGTATTTATTCATGGCCATGACATAGTATCTCGTTCCCTCGACTTGATTATTTTGTGCCCACGACTTAGTAACTCATGGCCACGACATAGTATCTCTTTCCCACGATTTAACTATCTCATGGCCAAGACTTAGTAACTTGTGGCCACGACACAGTATCTTGTTCGCACAAGATAAATAAAAACACACACACATGTCACCTTTGTATCACCATACCAATTTGCCAGCAGAGGAATAGACCAAAAAAAAGACAAGCTGACTACAAGGTTCGATTTAACTAAGTACGAATCGACTATTTTTCAATAGATTTCATCAGAATGATATAAGTCGGCAAATGTGATATTCATATCCGTTGAAATAATGAAATAGTGTGGTGAAATTATTGTGCAATACATCTTTCAATTCTTTATCTGAATTATAGATCGTATCCTTTACTTACACAATATTTTCATCTTTAACAGTAGATAAATTTCACTAGGTTATAATTTACTGCTTCACCGTATCAGTTGGCGATCACGTTGCCGGTGAAAAAAATAATAAAAAATACTAAAGAAAAGGAAAGAAAGGAGCGTTGTTCGCATCCGTGCTGGTGTTTTAAAGGTTAATATTTAATAATTAGATATTCAATTTATATTTGAACTGTTGACATTTTCAATTTTTTGAGACATTTGTAAATAACAATGATGCAATAATCGATACATTATTGTCATTAATTACACATATTTCGGATATCACAAATTCGATTATTATTATTAACAAATAGTTGAAATATGACGGATATTTTATGATATTTTTCAACCATATGTTTCATAATAAAGTCTTATTTAAGGTGATATGTTTTGTCACATTACTTTACTCAGATATAATTGTAAATGTTCATCAGTTATAGATGGAATCATTTTATAATCTACATTAGTCCAGCGACGAGATATTGTGCTATTTTCGTGTCTGGGCAATATCTCGCCTCTTAAAGCGAGATTCTGCCCCAGAACGAAAATATCTCAGAATCAAGCTTTGGCACGTCAATTAGGGCTGGATCAATATACCGGTAAATCGGTATTTATCGATTTTCCGTTTTTCAATACGGTACGGTACGGTTATCGGGTTTTAGCTATACCGATACAAAGGGAGACAACCTAATAAAAAAGTGGAACTTATAAACATGATGGCTTTACATTAAAACTATCGTCTTTAAAATGTCCACACGAAAGTCAAAAGTGTGGAATTTTCTCTAAAGTAAATGTTAAGAAGGCCCTCAGCAATATTTGAAAGGCTGCATTGATTAGTTCAGGTGGAACAACGAATGTGTCAATACACAAAATGACGGATAAATCCGTGACAAAATTTATCCGGCCATTCAATCTCCTATTTCTAACACTGGTAAAAAATACTTTCAGGTCGGCAGTAGTTTGTATTAGACCAAAAACATTTACTTGTAATTTAATCAAACACATATTGTAAACACATAAATCCTACAAATTTATTGATTTTCCAAGATGTAGTTTGCTAACTAAATAAATGTGACTGCGCGAAGACGTAGCTAAACACCGTTTCCCGTTACGTTACGGATTACGACACCACAACATCATTACATGATATTTATATTTTTATTGTAATTTTACCGTTTAAGATAGAAAAAACATGATTTGTTAGAAAATTTTCAATGTTCCAATACTTTCTCAGCGTATATATTTCAAATTCTACAAAAATTTGATTTTATTATAAAGATCTTATAATTTAGAACAGTTGACTTGTAGACAGTACTAGACTCCTGTCATAATAAATATTAAATAGTGATGTTTTAATTTTTTCTGCGTTAACTTTTCCTAGTATTTACATAATTATATTTTTGCATTGAATTATTTCTCTACAAAGCTTTTTTATTTTTTTTTTTCAAAATAATTGTTTAATATATCTAAAAAAAGGGGCCATCATGTCATTTTCAAAATATTATCTCAAATGTACTAATTAAGGTACCTATGCACCTGCTCTGTATTATATATCATCATTAACAAAGTCAAAATCTAAAACAGATATAAGAAAGATTCAATAATATTTCACCAGGGCATCTATGAAATGTAAATAGTACTTTTAATAAGTACATCCTAACAATGAAGCATCATTGTACTGTATCGTCAATACGTATTGTGTATCGTTGGTCTGTATCGCAATACGTATCGTATCGGAAATTTCTGATCAATACCCAGCCCTAACGTCAATATATTTTGACTAAATCTACATTAGCTTGACACAAACAGTTATTTAACTTGACTCAGTTATTACTCAATTTATGATGAAAAACATCCTATAAATTTGCAAACAGTTAAATTTCCAAACTCAGTTGACAGTCCAACAGAAATAGCAGTATGCATAACAGGTCTATATATAGTCCTTCATTAAAAGACATTGCATTTTCTTTTTTTACAGTTTGACATTTATCGGAGTCTTTCCATAACTGGCTCATTTCATATTATTGACATGCTTCTCGAGTCAATTTGAATTTACCAGTAAATCACGACCTAAATGTTATTTATCACAAAAAGCAACTGACTGCATTATGCATATAAAACAGAACTATTTTCTCAAAAACAGTTTTAATATGCAAAAATTACTCACGATAAGTTGTTTATTTATCCATTTATTTGAGAAAACACATGAAAGACATTTTGTGTTGACCCCACATATTGGAAATTTCAGGTTGCTCTGAGACGTCACTCGTAAATATAATACGAAATAAGTCTGAACAAAATTTTTTTCTCTTGGGATATTTAGGGGCACACAGTTAAAATTTTGTAAATAATTTGGTTATTGTAACCTGCGTACCAATATGGAGGCTGTTTACACAGGATTGTGTAAAATTGTTTAAAAGTTGAATATGCTGTTTTTGAGAAGGAAAATACACATTTGTGGTAGGATTTATGAATACCAACCATTATTTGTATCATGTTACGTGGCAATGTTTTTCATTTTGCTATGGACTTTTAAATAGATATCTTTAGACATTAAAGCGTATTTGACCGATGTAAAAAATCGCTTCAAATCCGCGGTTTATGTCTAAATATTCATACATGAGAACTTTTTCCGATGATCAAGTGGGAGATTTTTCTTCAAAAAGAGGGAGATTTTAGAATTTGCAATAAACAAAGAAAAAAGTTATGATATCAAAAAGAGGGAGATTTCTTTAATTTGTGAAAATACCCCTTATTTTAAGAAAATTCTTTGAAAATATGGCAGCAGAAAGTGGTAGTCTCCCGCTAAAAGTGGGAGAGTTGACATGTTTGAATACAGTAAAGACTGTTAAAAGTGACCTTCGATGGGAGAAAAGAAAAAAGGTCATTATAGACAGGGAGTCACTGTGGACAGTCTCTACATAATTCGGATATATGAACATATCATACCAATATTTTGTTGAAAAGCAGGATAGTACCATTAAACATACCAAATATCATTTATAAAAAACAGGACAGTATTAAAATTGCATGTATAATTGGTTAAGATTATAAACTACAATGTACACCATTTCATTAGTATTTAAAAGTTACATATTGATTAAAAATGTAATTTATATTGATAAATCTGTTTGTAAAAAAATGTTTAATTTCAATTTTACTAATTTGATGTTAGAGACATTTAATTTTGTATAATCAGCCTGTTTACTTTACGGAGTTCAATGTATTAATAAAACATTAGATACAAATCTTCACATAATTTCTACAGATAAGTGCTCTGAAATTTTTTTTAACAATCGAGGTTTTCGAAAACATAACCACACCTTTAAGACGTTGGGCATTGTTTATCTTTACTCGCCAAAACACTGCAGCAATTATGTACATGCAGGTGTCTTTAATCACTCAATCGGCAAAAATTGATTGAATCTGTCACCATTTTGTGTAATTGTCAACAAACAGCCACAGTGTATTAGCGTGTCGCCATTTGGTCAATGCAAACTGCCGTAGATACAACGCGCATTATGATTCGTCAAGCACATGAATACATAATGATAAAGATATACATAGTGGACTCTTGCCTTGGGCGTGTATTAGACTTTGTTGATGTTTACACACGTTCTTAACTAGCGGATTAACGGTAATTGGTTGTAATTTTTGAGAGGTAAACAAATTGTTAACAGACCTGGCGGCGTAAATAAGTATGACAGATCATTAAAAAAATCGGGCGACTTCAAAATCTCTTTGAAGTTTGTTTTAGACGAAGTGGCTGATCCGAAAGCAACTTCTGGGCCCGACTCGCCCCCTAGCTCAAGCCCTGCAGTCCCCTTGTTAAAGTTGCTTTTCACAGCACAAATACCGTAACGGGTGACTAAATCATGGTCGTTGTACGGACTAGACAGGGAGTCGCTACATACAGACCATTTATATAGTAAAAACTGTTCGGCGCACCTAACTATGGTCACTAAAGACAGAATGTCGCTATATACAGGGGGTCACTAAGACAGTCTTTACTGTATTTGGACTACATCCATAACTGAACTAGCTGTTTGTTGCATAGTTTTGGTTATATTTGGGATTGAAAATGGAGGGTATTATTATTGAAAGTGTTTGCATATCTATCTATCTGAAAAGTGTTGGCATATCTACAGTATCTATCTGTCAAACCCCTCGCGGTGACGTAGACATGAGATACAAGGGAATCCTGGAACTAGTCCCTAGCTCTATTAGAATAGACCCCTTGGTTCTTTTACATAGTGATGCCCAGTATATAGCACTGATACATGCCCTAGGAGTAAGTCAGTGGTTTAACAAACTAACAAAGCAGACTTACTTTGTTTTCTTCTACTGTGAATTCACTTATATTCGTGGGCATGAAATTTCGTGGTTTTATCAAAACGAGCATTTTCGTGGGTTCTTAAATGCGTGGATTTTCATTTTCTTGTAAAAAAAACTAATGCAAACTTATCTATAATCCGTACGGCAAGCACAGATCTTTACGTACAACACCATGCTGGTCAATCAATTTAATCCTTGCCTCTGGGCGAATCTCAAAGATGACACTAACTGGCGATAATTTATAGCAATTAACACATTAATGTGACATGATAGGCAGCTTAATTGAACCATGTCGCCGACGTAAACATGATTACATCTCATATTATATGACACGACTGCCACGTTTTAATCAGCCAGTTTTAAAAAAATACACGCAACGTCACATCTACTGTGTAAATCAATATGCATATTAATTATGACGAGTAAATGGCACGAGTATGTAAGGATCTAAAAAATATTAAAATCGGCGGCATTTTTTATTTTTATGGAATAGAAGTCGTACAAATACAGAATAAAATTCATGTAAACTGGACCATTAACAAACTTGTTAAAATGCAACAAAAGAATTAACTAGTCATCTGTTGTTACGAGCGGTATTTTTTTTTGTTCTGTGTTTTTTACATACAACATTAATATCAAAGTCAATTTGATTGGTAATTAAAAAGTGCAAACCGAAAATTTTTATTGGCGCTAATTAATGCAATGGATTCCCATATTTACTAGATTATCTCAAGTTTATTTTTCTGACACAATCAAGTAGCCTATAATGATCAAGTAGTCCCTGTGATGTGTTTATGCGATCGAGATTTGTGACATATAGGGGGCCTTATCGACTTTTCTCTGAAGTTTCTTAAATATTGTAAACCTGAACTATTTATAGATATAACCTGCCACAAAGCTGATTATCTGTATACATTCATTATCCAAAAAATCGGTAAGAAAAGCGCTGACGCATGTTTTAAATATATAGAATAGATACATTGTGTAATAAAATTTCAAGGGATCTTAAATTCGTGAATTGACCTACCTACGAAAACCAGGAAAATTGTGCCCCACGAATAATAATGATTTTGCAGTATTTAAAAAAAATGAAGTTTCAGTCTCCAAAGGCATAATATAGCTGCCTATCAGATGTGTGGGGTTTTTTTTCATCAAAAACTCAGCAGTATTCTAGACTCACTGTCTGCCAAGTTGTTAATATATTTTCTGATGCATCATCATTAAACTTGGTCATAGACTGCAGTTTACCATCTGAGGCAGTTGCTTTACATTAATACCAGCAGTTTGTATACATGTAATATCTTTTTAACATTACAAGCGTTTACACTTGTGTAGGTCATTTTATCAACTGACATGGATAAACAAATGACATTTGATCAGGAGTTATTCAAGAAATAGTGTGTAAACCCCCATTCTAGTGAAAGAATTCATAAAATTTTACACTAATCTTTATTGCCTTACACTGATAAAATTTATAATATCAATACCAAATATATTGCTTTGTCATTGAATCTCTTTAAAAAAAATCATTAATAGGTTGAGTACCGTACATCCAAAATGAAGTATTAGGCATTGTCGAGATCACAGGGTTACTGCAGTATTTGGGTATTGATACACAGTAAATGTAATTTGAAGACACATTACAGATATTAACTTTTATATCATTTCAGAGATCAGAATAATGGATACAAGTCTTAAAGCAGATGAAATCAGAAAGTTATTTATAGACTTTTTTAAGGAGAAGGAACATTTATATGTTCATTCATCATCAACCATTCCTCTAGATGATCCAACACTTCTCTTTGCTAATGCTGGAATGAACCAGGTACTATTACAAAGTCTAATGTCTACTATAAGATTAATGCCCTGTGTTCTTTTCCAATTTTAAAGCTATTAACTTCAAATTTATGTCACATAGTTTTATGTGTGGAATAACCTTTCACATTGGTTACACTTAATCTTCATCTATTTATCTACATGTACTTTTTGGTCTTAAAGAGACAGCCCTCAAAAAGAAAATTAACAGTTGAACTTCAACTTTGGATTACTTGAAACTTTAGTGTGTGACGAGTATGATAGTTATGAAGTCTCTTGCCTCTGCATTGTCTTTCCAATTACTTATATTCTGAAGGCTTGATATCCTAGTGATACAATGTATATACAACAGTCTGGTATTGTCCAATAGCAGAGCTATATTTGAACCTATATCCTTCGGCTGCCATGTCTAACATATTATATCAACTAGGCTAGTGGGGCATATGACATGTACATATATAATATATACATGGTATTTTGTTAGATTTGCATATTACTTTATACATTGTTTTAATTACCTGTTTTATCTGTATTCTTTTCTGTTACACAGTTCAAGCCGATATTTCTTGGAACTGTGGACCCGAACAGTGACCTATCTAAGTATGTGCGTGTAACAAATTCACAGAAATGTATACGAGCTGGTGGCAAACATAATGATTTAGATGATGTCGGCAAAGATGTATACCATCACACTTTCTTTGAAATGTTGGGAAACTGGTCCTTTGGTGATTATTATAAGGTAATCATATCTCTTAGACAAGTCTAACATAAAAGATGGACTTTAACTTATATTATGAAGTATGGCACAATGTCATTAATCATGAATCTTGAACCTTTTTACTGGTCTTAAAATCTTAGTACACTTTTCTCAAGTGTAATTTTGCCTGTTATGATGCATGCAACTTTAAAAAAATTTAGTCTAAATAGTGTTCTGTACATAAAACAATTTTATTGGTCATTTGGTCAAAAGTATAGAACCATATAAATCATAGATAATGTACACTGTTTATTCCTTATCTAATAGGATGTTAATTTGAGCATTATCTGTTATAATTGACATGCGAATGTTGCACAATGTGTGCATAGAGTAAATATATTAATTTTACCTCTTTTAACCTTGACAGAAAGAGACTTGTACATGGGCATGGGAACTTTTGACAGAGAGAGTGAAAATGGAAAAAGATCGTCTCTATGTAACATATTTCGGAGGGAATGAAGAGGCTGGTCTGGACCCTGATAATGTTACAAGGGATATATGGCTTGGATTAGGGTAAAACAGTATTTATCATTTGATGGGAAAAATGAGTCTTCAAAACTCAAACTGAAGGAACATGTATTTTTATTTTAAGAAATATATAAATATTCATTAAATTTTTATCACAAAACTTTGTATTAAATCAACAATTTCTTTACACAACATGTTAGAGGACACTGTACAAAAGTTGAAATTGTTCCAGTCTGTTGCAAAAGTAAGTAGCTGGATCTAAAAATGGACTTAAAGAATTAAAATCTTTAAAAATATTACCCTCAGAAACTGTCCAGACCAGAGTAATTAAGAAGTTGAAACTTATTTGAAGATTGTTGAAAACAATAAATAATTGTTGGCAGATATGTATACATTCAAGAGGCAAGTAAGGCTGCCTTATGAACTTTGCACTATTTAATGTTGAATTAAAGTTAAATCTATTTGATTATGATTGTAATTTTAGTTATTTAAATCAGTATTAGACACAAGATAATAATATGATTCATTATGTTCTGAAATAGAAATTTTTATTTTTGATAATTTGTTAACAGAATACCAGAGGAGCGTGTGATGCCTTTTGGAATGAAGGACAATTTCTGGGAAATGGGTGATGTCGGGCCATGTGGTCCATGCACAGAAATCCACTATGATAGGATTGGTGGGCGTGATGCTAGACATCTTGTCAATATGGATGTACCTGATGTGCTGGAAGTGTGGAACCTTGTCTTTATACAGTATAACAGGTATGGGCACATTACTGCCGCAACCTTTATTGCCTGATAGCAAGTCTAGTTTTGATTTGATTTTAATCACACTCACACAAAACTTGTGTGAACTTTGATTTCATGTCACAAAATGGACATTTCAATAATATGTAACAGAGTTGCCATCCCTTATTTGGCAGAAAGTCATGTCAATTTAGGCATATTTGTAAAAACCATAAATAAAATCATCAAAAAACCTGACACCTACAGTTTAGATATTTGTTGTGTTGAAAGTTTGTTTTAATCTTAAAATCATTGCTCTAGGGTCAGTAGAGACCCTGCCATAGGGGTCAACGGTTTTACTTGCTTGATTTGAATTGATATTTATTGTCTTTTTAAAACTGATACATTTTGATATATTAAATTGGTTCAAAATTGAGTGAATATTACAATAACTTATTGATCTGTTTATAAATTACATTGTACCATTTTCAAGCTATGGTATTGATTTGTTTTGATTGAAGAATAATACTAGAGTGATTAGACATTGTTCAGAGTTGTCTTATGTCTGGGAACATTTAGTAGAACCTATTTAGACATAATGCAAACCTGTTTAAAACTGACACACTCTATCTTTTCACTGGAGTTACATCTCTGAATGTATTTTATAGAGAATCTGCCACAGAGCTGAAACTTCTCCCTAAAGGTCATGTAGATTGTGGTATGGGTTTAGAGAGATTGGTGTCTGTCATACAGAGGAAAAAATCCAACTATGATACAGACATGTTTATGCCTCTCTTTGAATTTATACAGAAGGTAAATTGCAAGTTTTTGAATAGCAACCTGAAGATTGATAACTAGACTAATTTATTTCTTAATCAAATCAACAGCATGGCTGAATAGTGAGAGTTTTGGATTTGTAATCCAGTAGTTTGATCCTTGGACAAGGTAAAACTTCTCTCTGACAATTGATCTCTCACATGCTGATGGTCATTTGATTCTGAAATCTCATTCAGAAATCTTGTTAAATTAGTTGTCAGTCACTTGCAGAAAATATGTTATGACTGTTTAGTTATCCAGGAAATTAAGTGAAGTGAACCAATTGACAAAGATATCACCAAAAATGTATTAACATCGGTGTTCAAACCAAAGTGAACAGAAAATAAATGATGTAATATGATTATTTAAAATGCATCACTTAGTTTTTGGAATGTAATTTCGGCTAAAGTGTTATATAAACCGATGGCAAGCTTGGTTTGTATTATCAAGAACACCAAAGGTTCATGCTGAATTAGTTTTACATTTATAACTTTGTTTTTCAGCAACTTCACAACAGATCATTAACTTTTTGTTAAATCTTTAAGAATACAGGATGTAGGGAGTATGCGGGAAATGTAGGTGCTGATGATGTTGATGGTATTGACATGGCATACCGGGTACTTGCTGACCATGCCAGAACATTAACTATAGCCTTGTCTGATGGTGGACGTCCTGATAATACAGGAAGAGGGTAAGGCAAACATAAATTCTAAAAAAGGCAATAAATAATTCATTCAGCTTAGCTTTAATTGTACAATCAACCATAGAGAATAGCCAGTTTATTAAGAAATCAAGTGGAGAGAAAAATCAATAAACTCACCATGGCTCTTAGAAAATAAACTCAGCATAACTGTATCCTAGTATCAAACACTGAGTTTAAGATAAAAAACTTTGTATAAATTTTATATAAAACAAAATCAAACACAGAGTTTAAGACAATAAACTCTACATAACTCTTTCCTACTATCAAACACAGAGCTAAAAGATGAAAAACTACTTATTTATTATCAAACGCAGTGTTTAACCCATTACGCAAAATACACACCTTTTAACGCCTTTTTCACCCCTCCCCCCTTTTTGCTGTCTCAAATGGTGAAAAAATGCCTTATTTAGACCCCCAACACTTGTTTTTGTTTGAGAAATGTTGTTAAAAAAGTGACCACTTTTTCGGGACGGGGTTGCCAGAAGGGGGATGTGCCCCCTTCTGTTTGGGGGGGGGGGGTTGAAGGGGGGCGGAAGTCCCCCTCATCGCCAAGAAAATTTTTGACTCTATCTCAATCCATTGAGAAGTTGCAGCACTTTGAGATCAATTTTGATGGAAAATATCAACGCAAATGTGATTTTTGGCAATTTGGAGATGTCCCCTCGTTGCCATGGTAACAGAAAATTTAAGCCCGAGCATGTTGTTGCAAAGGCTAATGGTCCAGTCAACATTTGTGCCAAGTATGATTAGTATTGAAGCAGTTTTTATAGTTTTATAGCAATTTGAACTTGTAACGGGAGACTTTCCAATGAAAACAGCCATTTTTCACAAAATGCTCATGAAGTAATGGGTTAAGACAATAAACTCAACAATGGCTCTTATTTTATTTTACTATCTAGCACTTTGTTTAAGACAAACACTGCAACAGTTTTTAACATTTAATCAAGCACAGAGTAGCTTATTTTCTTGGCAATACTCCTTACTATTTTAATTTCTAGCCTGGAGAATATCATGCTAACCATACTTGTGTCTGATATTATAAACTTTATCAGGCAAGGCTTAGAACAAATAGAATATCGGACACTGCTTTTGATATTTTCAAAATAGTATAATGTACAAATAATTCATTCTCTTCATTTCATTTCAATGTGCATTGATGAGGTTTCTTTATAAAGCTGAGGGTGTGATTAAACTAAATTTAAAAAGCTGTAGTAAAAAGTGTGTACTGTGAAATTTTCATGCAAGTCATTAACTTTCTATTTAATTTTTCAATGATGTAAGTAGATAGGGCACTTCACTGAACAAGATAGTAGGGGAATATCTTCAATCTCTTGTTTCAGTTTAGGCTATTCAGCTTGAATTTTTAATGGCATTTTTAAATTAGACATTAAAGAGTAATTATATTTTATTTATAGATACGTTTTAAGGAGAATATTACGTAGAGCTGTAAGATATGCCACTGAGAAATTAGGAGCTAAACCAGGATTCTTTGCTTCAATGGTTGATACGGTTGTATCTCTCCTTGGTGGAGCCTTCCCTGAGGTCACCAAAGATCCAGAGGAGGTAAGATTGATAATAGAGAAAAGTAAAAGCTTACTAATACAGATATAGATATTGTATTCTGTAAAAAGTAAAATGAACTTGTGTATCTAAGTGACTGTGAGGCATGAATATCCCAATTCTGCAACATTGTTCTTGGTCATACAAGCCAAGTTTTACATCAAATATTGATCAAGAATACTAAATTTCAAATATATTGACTTTTGATTACTGGTATAAAGTTCCTCTTATAAAATATAGAAGTTGTACCTAATAGAATATAGTTATACTTAGTTCTTTTTCATACTCATTCTTATTCTCAAAAATTTTGAAATGAAAAAGATATGGGTAGAATGATAGATTTCATGTCAAGATCTGAAGCAATTATGTTTGATTATAAATTAGAAACCAGAAAAAAGTAATGTTGATATCACAGACAGAATTCCTGTGTAGATATATTAGAAAACTGATTTAATTGATTTTATTTTAATACAGGTAAAATCAATCATAAATGAGGAAGAACAGCAGTTTTTAAAGACATTATCACGTGGTAAACGTCTACTTGAGCGAACTATCAATAAATTAGGAGATACCAATGTTCTACCGGGGGATGTAGCTTGGAGATTATATGACACCTATGGTTTCCCAGTAGATCTGACCTCACTGATGGCAGAAGAGAGGAAGCTTTCTATAGATATGAATGCCTATGAGGCAGCCAAGAAAAAATCTCAGGTAAATGTTTTGTAGATTTCATAAATATAGTTTTTAAATGATTATTTACAATGTGTACATTTAAGTTGATACTTTGATTACAGTTACTGCTGACACTGGTGATAAAATTGTTTCACTTAAGTAACTCATTGAAGGAGCAGCTAAACAATGAACCCTGAGAATGGTTCATGTAAGCTATAAGCAAGTGTTTAAATTAAAACTGACTTAAAGCCTGCTACCTATATGAATCTTACAAATACATTCTTACAAACCACTTTCCTGGAAATAAACTTGTTGTTAAGTTATAATTGCAGAAAAGAATGTCTGATTGAAAAGATTTATATTAAAGTTACATGTACAATGATATCTTAAACAGGAGTTGTCCCAGGGTTCAGGAGGTGCCTGCAATGATGAAATCAACCTGAATGTTCATGCCATAAATGATCTACAGACACGTGAAGTACCACCCACAGATGATCTACCTAAATATAAATATAATGCTGATGAGAATGGCAACTATTGTAAGTGTACTTCTTTTTCAATACAGTACATGTTTGTTTTACTCATTATACCCCCGAAATGAAGTTTGGGGGGGTATATAGAAGTCACCCGGTGGTCGACCGTTCGGTCGGTCCAGCCACTCGTTACATTTTCCTTGTCCGGAGCATAACTTGAAGACTAATGGTTGGAATTCAATATAACTTCATACAATGGTCAAGCACATTGAGAGGAAGTGCAGTGCTTAAGAACCATAACTCTATCTTGAGTAATTACAGAGTTATTGCCCTTTGTTACTTGTCCGGAGCATAACTTGAAAACTACTGGTTGGAATTCAAAACAACTTAATACAATTGTCAAACACAATAAGGGGAAGTGCAGTGCACAAGAACCATAACTCTATCTAAAGTAATTACAGAGTGATTGCCCCTTGTTACTTTTCCATTGCTTTTGTCCGGACCATAACTTGAAGACTAATGGTTGGAATTCAATATAACTTCGAACCATAACTCCATCTTGACTTATTACAGAGTTATTGCCCTTTGTTACTTTTCCATTGTTTTCTTTTGTCTAGAGCAAAACTTGAAGACTAACGGTTGGAATTCAATATAACTTCATACAATGGTCAAGTATAATGAGAGGAAGTGCAGTGCACAAGAACCATAACTCCATTTTGACAAAATACAGAGTTACTGCCCTTTGATACTTTTCCTTGTCCGGAGCATAACTTAAAATGTACTGGTTGGAATTCAAAATTACTTCATACAATGGTCAAGCACAATAAGAGGAAGTGCAGTGCACAAGAACTATAACTCTGTCCAGAGTAATTATAGAGTTATTGCCCTTTGCTACTTTTCCATTGCTTTTTTCTTGTCCAGAGCATAACTTGAAAACTACTAGTTGGAATTCAATACAACTTCATACAATGGTCAAACGCAATGAGAGGAAGTGCAGTGTATAATAACCATAACTCCATCTTCAGTATTTATAAAGTTATTGCCCTTTGTTCCTTTTCCTTGTCTTTCTGGACTTATTACAGAGTAATTTAATAAAACTTCATCAATGGCCAACCACATTGAAAGGAAATGCAACATACAAGAACCACATCTATCTTAAATTGCCCACAACCATAACTCTATTTCAATTCTTTTACAAGGTATTCTGTTACTAGTAACATCCTCATTTCCAAAGCAGTCTTGTGGGGGTATTAATCACATTTAGTGATAGTTCTAGTTTCACTTGTTTAATACAAAATCTAGAGATGCAATAGTGTCATGATCTTAAATAATTTTTATTTACAAGCAAAATTTGGCTTTGGATTAGTTTTGTTCCTCACTGTATTCTGGTTTATTTATTTTTGAGGTTTAGCTACTGGTAACTGTTTGGGTTTCAACAAGGTCTAGATAGTGTTTCCTACATTTGATTTTGAAGGCTTGTTTATCATTCCATAACACTGTGGAAAGACAAGAGCTTTTGGTCACTACAGATAAGTTCTCATCAGCAAGAAGATACCTCTGGAATGATATAGATTTTAACACTACTGAGTGTACTGACACTTGAACATTTGCATCCTTAAAAACTTAATCAGTTAAACAACTGTTTGAAATTGAAGAATGGTAATAATGGTCCAGTCACAAACTAAGGTGATTGATTGCTTATTTTTCACATACCAGCTGGGCTAGTTTTTTGGAAAATTTTACAGGCCTGACCCAAATTATACTAGCTATGTACTAGCGGATTAGTGGAAAATCTGAATATTGATAACCTATATTGTTTATGTACTATAGTCAAGTTTTTTTAGTATGCTATTGTGTGAATTGAATAAACTTCACAATTATTTGATATCAGATTCTTTGACATATTTTAAGTGTTGTACTATGTAAACTGACACCTTTATACATGTACTATTTACAGCATTTGAATGTTGCACTGGTAAAGTGATAGCCCTTCGTTACAACAAGGAGTTTGTAGATTCAGTATCAACTGGTCAAGAATGTGGAGTGTTACTTGATAAAACATGTTTCTATGCTGAACAGGGAGGTCAGATCTATGATGAGGGATTTCTTGTGAAGGAAAACGAAGAAGTAAGTATATTATAGTTTTCCCAATTTTAGTCAGCTTCAAGGGAGTCATATAAATTAGTCATGGACAAGATCATTCTATCTGTTCCTATTACTTGGTGTATATATCGGAACACTGGTAGTAGCTTGTGATCTCCTTTTGTATTTTGCAAGCTAGAGCCTTCATTTTTTTTTACCATGAAAAAATGATTTTTGACATTGGATGACTTTGAATTTGCTACAATAATCTACTTATGAATGTTTAAGCTATGTCTAATTTAGAACTCAAATACAGGCTTGTATTTAATTTGATACTTTGAACAAAATTCATTGACACAACTAGTTTTGTATAACCTTTAACAAATAGATAATATCCTTAAAAAAATACAAGGTTGCCTGGTTATTATTACTTTATTATTTATATGGTATAAATTTAGAATTTGTTTGTAGAAGATTTTTTTTAAAGACACTATGTATAATGTCAGGATGTAGAATTTCGAGTAAGAAATGTTCAAGTTCGAGGTGGATATGTACTTCACATTGGTGTAATAGAGGGAACTCTCAAAGTTGGAGATACCGTGAAGCAGTCCATTGATGAGGTTTGTCATATACAATTATTCTGCTAGTAGTTATGAGAAACCATGTTTTATATCAATTAAAATAAAATGTATGCCAATTTTAAAAAAAAAAATCACTTTAGTTATGTTTTGTCTGAATAAACTAGCAAACAAGAGGATAGTCTTGTTTATACAATTGCTTTGAATACACAGTGTTAAGAAGGGGACTGGAAGTTACAAAACCTAAGACAAATGTTTAGTTTGATGAAATGTATGCATATTTTACTGTGACTCATTGAATATATCTTTCTGACAGATGTTTATATTACACTCAGGTAAGGTTTTGCATGCAACTTTATTTCACTCTATTTACAGAAGGTGAATATATATAAGGTCAAACCAACAAGGTCATAGAAATAGTGTCGTAGAAAAGTTGATAAATTTTTTTATGACCCTCTAGGTTTATTGTACTTCATTTAGTGTTCAGTTACTTATACAGTAGAACTTCGGTAAGTCGAAGTTGGAGGGACTTGTGTAAAAACTTCGACACATCGGGACTTCGACTCATGAATCGGTCTGAATTTCATGACCAAATTTCAACCCGTGACTAGCCCTATTTATAAGATCTATAACGTAACCTATTTCATGTTTTTCTTTCATTCATTAATCTGATATTTTACATTATACAATGATAAATATGACACGTTAAGTAACTTTTCACGGCTAAATTGATTTGGACTACCTGTTGACGTATACAATGAAGTTACAAAAGGCGTAACAATACGAAAGGGCAATAACTAAACCAGCTTATAGTAATTATTTCGCGTGTGATTATCACGCGACACCGGGTCACGGAAGTACTCAAATGATAGTTCTTACTGTTTACATGTACTTTCAAATACCGCTAATGCAATTAAAATAGTAACGATTAAAGCATTTTTTTTTCACACATTTAAACGCATACAAAGGCAGTTTGAACACTCGGCTGTGTAATTAACACCTGTCACTAAAGTTGATCGGAAATCGTCTTCGCGGCCAGAAAAGGTGTGAAAAATGTCTCGAGATCGAAGGTGTCAAAATAATCGAAGGACTTCGACTTATTTGTGGTAAATTGTTCTAGATTTATTCTATACGGACCACGAAAAAACTTCGACACATCGAAAAATTCGACACATAAAACCTCGACTCATTAATAGGTTTTTATAAGGAATATATAAGGAAAAAAATCGGGACTTTCATTTTACTTCGACACATCGAGAAAATCGACTAATCGAAGTTCGACTCATAGAAGTTCTACTGTATATGTTAGATATTTGTTATTATATTACAGTCAAGAAGAGCAGCTGTGATGAAGAATCATACAGGTACACATGTTTTGAATTTTGCCCTGCGTGAAGTTTTAAAAGAGGCTGACCAGCGGGGTTCTCTTGTGGCTCCAGATAGATTGAGATTTGACTTCAGTGCAAAGGTATGAAACTGTGAAGGCTGTGTTATACAGCAATTATAAATTAATATTTCTTTAAAGGTCTCTACAATGATTTAATAAACAACAATATTTGTTTATATAAACAACAGTATTTGGTATATAAACAACAATATTTGTTTATATAAACAACAATATTTATTTAGAAATTAAAGTGAGAACACAATTTAATTTTATCCATAGATAAAAGTTGTCTCAACAAAGTCTAAAAATATGAAAGTTTGGTTCATATTGTATGAAAATGAACAAAAATGTTTAAATATGAAGTTCTATATATTGATGCTTAAAAATATAAACTTCATATTTAAGGGAACTAAGTAGATGTCAGTAAATATGAAACCCTGCATTATAGTGTATGAAAGTGAACGGAAGTATTTAAATATTAATAGTGTTTGATATTGTTCACGATGTGCTTTGATTATTTTTATGTAAAACATTTTGAGTTGATTCGAACTGTTTGTTTTTTTGTATTAAGTACAGTGTTGGTATAAGTTAATGTTTAAAGTATAGCTTAGTTTATACAGAATTTGTTATGCCCCCACAATGTGGGAGCATATAGCGTTGCACTTGTCCGTCTGTCAGTCCGTCCGTCAGTCCGTACGTCCCGAAATCTTGTGAACGCAACTCCTCTTAAACCGGATGGCAGATTTTGCTTAAAGTTACAGGGATGAACAACCTTAATGTATAGATGGTAGTAAAGAAAGGAATTTTCGCTGCGACCAAATTTAACAGAATTATGGCCCTTTGTTGATTTTTTCACTAGATTACTCTGTAGAAATTTTGTGAACGCAACTCCTCTAAAACCGGATGGCAGATTTTGGTTTAACTTACAGGGATGAACAACCTTAATGTGTAGATGGTAGTAAAGGAAGGAATTTTTGCTGCAACCAAATTTAACAGAATTATGGCCCTTTGTTGATTTTTTCACTATATACTATGTAGAAATTTTGTGAACGCAACTCCTCTTAAACTTGATGGCAGATTTTGCTTAAACTTACAGGGATGAACAACCTTAAGGTGCAGATGGCAGTAAAGGAAAGAATTTTTGCTGCGACCAAATTTTACAGAATTATGGCCCTTTGTTGATTTTTTCACTATATACTATGTAGAAATTTTTTGTGAATGCAACTCCTCTTAAACCGGATGGCAGATTTTGCTTAAACTTACAGGGATGAACAACATTAAGGTGTAGATGGTAGTGAAGGAAGGAATTTTTGCTCCGACCAAATTTAACAGAATTATGGCCCTTTGTTGATTTTTTCACTAAATTAACTATGTAGAAATTTTGTGAACGCAACTCCTCTTAAACTGGATGGCAGATTTTGCTTTAACTTACAGGGATGAACAACCTTAAGTTGTAGATGGTAGTAAAGGAAGGAATTTTTGCTGCGACCAAATTTTACAGAATTATGGCCCTTTGTTGATTTTTTCACTATTTATTATGTAGAAATTTTGTGAATGCAACTCCTCTTAAACCGGATGGCAGATTTTGCTTAAACTTCCAGGGATTAACAACCATAATGTGTAGATGGGAGTAAAGGAAGGAATTTATGCTGCAACCAAATTTAACAGAATTATGGCCCTTTGTTGATTTTTAGTTTTCAACTTGTGGCACATGTAGTCCAAAAAATATTTGACCTAGAGTCATTAGATTGACAGAACAGTGGTGTGTGGGGGCATCCATGTCCTTTGGACACATTTCTAGTTTTAGTTTATGTTGGAAGTGCTATAAGCTTAAAGAAACACCTGGAACAAGCCAATGCTAAACAATATGTGAAAAGTTTCTTGCTGAACACCAACAGCCAAGCATCATAGCTTAAGAGGTTATAAGAGATATTATATCATAATGTGTGTGTTTAAACTATCTTTATATGCAATGTATACATATATTTTAGGGTGCTATGTCTGTGAAAGAAGTTAAAAGAGCTGAAGATATTGTAAATGAAATCATTTCTAAATCTCAACAAGTGTATGCAAAAGTATGCCCACTGGCAGATGCTAAAGCTATTCAAGGGTTGAGGGCCATATTTGATGAGGTAAACTAAATGTTTGTATTCACTTTGTAAAATTTAAGTTAATTATTACTCTCTACCTTCATTTAAATTCAGTGTAGAAACTGATTTACAACTGCATTGATTAAATCTTATTTGATTGACAAATATTGATGCAGCACTCTGCAAACAATTTTCATAAAAATGAAGACAATATTTTATTAACATCTGTCGGAAATATGCTTACAGTTGAAATCTGAAACTCTTATCAGAAACCGACCATGACTCTGCAATAAAATATTTGTAGCATTGCTTAAATGGTTATTAGCAAAAGTTAGATACACAAGTTAATAACGGAAACTTTCAAAAGTTAAATTTTGTGTTATTTTGTCAATTTTGCATTTTCTGTTACACAATGGTGCAAGGTTTAAACCCAAGATAAAATTGTTTACATATCTCATCTTTATCATACTGTATTTTGTTGTGTTTAAACTGACTCATTAAATATTGTTCTGTTGTAATAGACATATCCAGATCCAGTGAGGGTAGTCTCAGTTGGTATACCTGTAGACGATTTGATAGCTGACCCAATGGGACCTGGTGGATCTATAACATCACTAGAGTTCTGTGGAGGAACGTTAGTATAAACAATTATAGATCAGACGGCTAATTCTTCATTGCTTAACTTTATTTAGAAGTGGAAGGATATTGATTTTGAGTTCTACATCTGTTTATACAAGTTTGTAGAGCATTTCTTAGAAAACTGGGATTCTTATTTGCATCAATTTGAGAAAATCGTAAAAAGAAAGATAATTAAAATTTTTCTTGATTTTGGGTACTTAGAATTTTTTTAATTATTTTGTGGCCCTTAACTTCAAAGTTTTGTTTGGCAAGAACTAAAAAAAGCGACGCAGCTTCCTTTGGAAGACAGCTTTTCTTGTTTTTGATTTTTTAATTGTAGGCATCTTTTAAATGGAGGACATATTGGTAAAATGGCAATTGTATCAGAAGAAGCAATTTCTAAAGGTGTGAGAAGAATCATTGCTGTTACAGGCTCAGAAGCCATGAAAGTAAGTTCAATAGTCTTTGAAAAAAAGAAAGTTGTAGTAAAAATCTTTGGAGAAAAGTAAAAAAGTACATTAAATATATTCAAAAATTCTTTGAAAACATTTGCAAGTGTGACTGATCTTCAGTGTTGCAATTTGTTAAATCATCTGAGTGTAGTATAAACGTTTAGGATTACATTGTTTATGTGTCCTGTTCTGTCACCACTGCTTCAAATGAAATCTAAATTGAGACCATTAGTGTAATGGGCATGAAGTATGTGTTTCAGGTTTATATCTCAAGAGCTAAAGATTGAAAAAGTGAAATGTTTTCAAAAGTACAAATCAATATTTAATATGCATGTTGTGCCTTAACAAAGATTTTTAATGGATTGCTCATGGGCTCAAAAAAAGGCACCGCTCCATGGATCACCTGTTTGACACAGTGAATATCGCAAAATCCCTTCTCTGAAACTATTTAAGTAAGAGACTTAACTGGTAGCATTGTGTGGTAGTTCTCTTACAAGATTGTTAATCTTGATATAATGTACTAGTATATCCATATTAAAAGGTTTCTATTAATTTAGGTTTCTATTAATTGACAGGCTGCTCATCGTGTTGATGTATTAGATAAAGAAGTAAAGGAGCTGAAGACAAAGTTAGAGGAAAACAGCAAATCCCAGGAATACACAGATAAACAGCTGACCAGAATGATTGTACAGCTCAATGATGTAAGATCGTATATAGTAATATAATAGTATATAGTATATAAAAAACCATTATCCTTATAAAAAACCATTATCCTGCTAGTCCAGATAGTGATTTAGATTAGCATATACCACCAGTAATGAGCTGGACCAATATGCAGGTCCATGCAGTCTGACCAGGTTCTATACTCAAAGCTGACCAACTTCAAAATTTTCATCTTGATATCATGAAATATAGTCAGTTCCAATCACATTAGCTGAAGATGTTCTATTACAAAATTAAACAGGTTGAGGGTTGATTGATAATTGATCTTTGCATTGGTTTTACTTTCTGATGGGAAAGATGTTGATGTTAAAAACTGTATGGGTAAAGTTTTAAAAACTTTACATGTTTCACTGGCATTAGTTGCGAAGTCAACCTCATGGTGATGCCATGGAGATTTCAAATTGTAATTTCTGCACATTTCAGGAGGTATCCCAATCTGTGATATCATATTCAGAGAAAGATAGGTTACGGACAGAGCTGAAAGGTTTAAAAAAGAAAATGGATGATCTTGACAAGGCGAGGAAAGCTGCAATAGTTAGTGAAGTTACAGAACAGGCCAAGCAGATGATTACTGATAATCCTAATCAGAAGTTTATTGTTCATGAGTTTAAGGCTGGAGCCAATTCTAAGGTGAATATTTAAAAGTTTTAAGCTATACCTGATAATTGATTGAAGGAAATTAAAACCATTTGACAGATATGTTTCATATAATGAGACAATATGCAGAATGCAGGTTTGGACTTCCTCAGATCAAAATTGGCCCCACCCCAGAGGTCACTCTTAGTCTATAGACTTTATATAAGGAAACACATTTAAGTCTTATTGTATGAAACTGCTGTCAAGGTTCTGTTATTTGATGTTAATATAATAAACTATGGCAATTGTTAAATATAGAAATTTTACATCATGGTTTTCAATATACCATCTTTAACAGTCTCATTAACTGATCTTACATTAAGCTTAACATTTGAATTTAGATTGTAAAGTGTCAACCATCAAGCAGTAAAACTGTTACTTAAAGTTACTTTATTGAATATTTTTCACATCAAAATATCATTAAATGTTTTATGTTTATCATGAAATGCAGGCTTTAGATGCTGCCATGAAACAGTATAAGGCTTCCAGTCCTGAGACAGCTGCTATGTTCTTTACAGTAGATGATGACAACAGTAAAATACTGTGTATGAGTTGTGTACCAAAGGTAAGACCACTTATTACATTATCAACACTACTATACACTTCCAGTACTATATTCTTGTTGTGTTTTAAGGTCATTTTTTAACTTTAAAAGATTCTGTTAAACATACATTTAAAGTATTGACTTCCAAGTATCAAACAAACTGAATTGACTTACTGTTACAAGTTACAATCAAAGATAACAGATATCAGATGGTATTGATCATCTAACCTTGTTCCTTCTATCAAGTCTATTGTATAATAGCATATTTATTACTTTTTCTAATGGACATTCATATATATTTCTACTTGTAAAGGAGGATTGAGTTTCATTGATATTAGTTGTTACAGATTCATACTCTGCTGGAACTGCATGTGATTAATTTTTGCCACCAGTATAGAGCCAGGCCAGTTTGTTCATGACTGCAGTTTGACCAGGCTCGATACTGTTGGCTGAATAGCATTAGATTTTCATCTTAAGTACCCTGAATTGATTATTAACAGTTCCAAAATGGACAAATCCATTACACAATTTGAAATGGTTAAGGGGAGAGGGAGTTAAGCATATATCCAAAGTGACAATTGACATTATCATCGTTTTATATGTAGGCAGTGGCAACACAAGGTTTTGGTGCTGACAAGTGGGTACAGCAGGTTGCGCCACTTATTAATGGAAAAGGAGGTGGGAAAGATCTGGCTGCACAAGCAACAGGGTCAAACACACAAGCTCTAAAACAGGCCTTAGAAGTAGCGACAGAATTTGCAAAGCTGAACATTTGATAAATGTAGGATGTTATGTGTGGGACATTTATCAGATATCTTGTGTTCTCTAAGTGCTAGTTGTTCATCTATTTATTGTAATATTATGTTACTTTGAATTAATTTAATATTGACCAAAAGCTATTTAATTACATATTCACATTGTTTTCTAGTAAAGATCTACTGTTTTTTATAATGATTTTCTGATATAAATCAATTTCTTACCCTATTGTAATTGGGTCATTATAATTTTAAGAGTTGTGCCATTAAAAGATGAAAAAAATGAGTAGCAAGAAATGTTATATTATAAATTCCTATAGTCATTGAGATTTTTTATACAATTTTTGCTATTGGAAACTAGTTCAATCTTAAAAAGGGTAGAAAAAAAATCCAAAGATTTAAGAGTGTACAAAAAAAGAAACAAAATTTTCATGACATATTTTTGTGAGGATGACAGTTTAACTGATTTCTTAGTTTACATACATGTATGTAGCATGCTAACAATATTTCACGAGGTTCAGTCAGGATATATTTATTATATTTATACTTCATAACATATTTTCTAGCAATATCAAACATAGTCTTTATATAAGCTTATACTAAGGATGTTTCAGAAGATTGTGGAATTTATCACGATTCTAACAATTTTCATATTTAAACACCATTGAAGCTTTTGTCATAAATATAATACAGACCAACTTTTAACACTCTTGTATGGAAAGTAAATACACACCTTTGTTACATTGTCACATCTATTATATTATGAAATAAAACAAGTTGCAATTAAGTTTATAGACTTTTTATGTCAGGAAATGCTCAAAGAAATGTTATTGTCAGTGTGGCCGACAAACATCTAATATTGTATATTGTAAGTTACTCTTTATGTTATTTGGATTTGTTGCATGGTAACAATGGTACATCAAAGAAAACAAATATTTACATGTATATATATTATAACTATGCACACAAAGGTGGGCATATAGTAATCACCTTGTTTCTTGTGTCTAGATCAATCATTCTGATAGTGGTTTCCTGTAAACTTTGAACAAGGTGTCCAGCGCATCATCCTTGGTCAAGGTCAAAAATGGAAATAAAATTCATATTTTCATGTCTCAGTCTTTAAAGGAATTTGAATTACTTGGTACACATAAAAAAGAACTAGCTTCCTTTGTAATTCGAGACCTCTTTTCGTGTACGCTACATATCGATTGCATTTGATATTACGTTATCTTTTTAGGACATTGGACACCTTCAGTTAACTTAATTAAAATTGTTGTTTTACAAAATGCCACATTTACCACCATTTATTAAAACTTATATACAATTGTTTATTAAAATTTATGACCCTGGAAGCATCATCTGGCATTTGGTCAAATTGATTTTCATCAGCAGAATGGATGTCTTGTGTACAAGAACAACATATTTTAGAATGAACAGTTTGTAAAGGGCAGTAATTTTTAAATGTCTATGTAACAAATCATTATGATATATAGCCTTTAAGATAATAAGTAATGAAACATGAACCGATTTGTTTATAGTTGACTGGTTTTTCTAATGAAATGTTGGGCATAAAATCTATTATTAATAGTTTCTTCTATAATATTATCATGTAATGGAAAATGTTCTAGTTTTTAAAATACCATTAATGAACTAAAACAGACAGAAATACCATGTTTACTGCACTGTGAAATAGTTATTGTGTATAATAGTGAGAAAACAATTGAAAGTAGTATCGTTATTTTATTCAGTTACAAATGTATTGTAGATATGTTAAAAGTTAACACCAATTTTAAAAGTCAAGACTTGATTTTAAACTTCTTTCTACTGTGGAGTGATAAGCAATTTATTGTTAAAACATTAAATTTAATTCGAATTAACTGAAGTCAGATACACATATTAAAAACATGCTTACTATTATAACCTTTTGTGTATTAATAAATATGATACAATAAACGTTGACATTTCGACTTATGAGGTGAAAGCAGCAAATATTTCAATGCCCCTTGTGTAAAAATGAAATAGCCCTCGTGTCACTTGTGTTATAGACATTTAAAGATTTTTTTTCTGAAACATAATATCACAGCTTTTAAATACCTCAAATGACTTATTTTCAAGCCGTTATCTTCAAAAGTTACATATTTGACTGCTGTTTAGGTCACTAACTTTACTTAGGCTGGCAGGGAAAAGGCGTTAAAACTGAACCTCTATTGTACAGACTTAAGATGAATTTAAAAATTGCTTGTAGGTCTTCTACATCAACAGGTTGACCGTCTGCAACCACGTGGACGGGAGTTAAGATGCTGGGCATGAAGTATTACAATGCATAAACCATAGGGTTAACAAAAGCCCCCGTAAGCAGGGCCATACTCAAATTTTCCTATTTTCAGCAGCAAACACATCTGAGGAAAATCATTAAAACACTTTAAATTGAAGTTAAATTTCATATTTGACCTTAACGATCAAGGTCATTTATAAGTGAAGGTAACACTTGAATTATTGAACCTTTCAGAAGTGTTGTATTGTACAAGTGTATTAGTTTAGTTTATTCGAATTGAATTTATTATAATTTGATTGTGTTGAAAGCTATAAGCTTATTGAAACATCAAATCCGTTCCTGGATCCATGCATGATTGTAAAGATGTTTTTTCCTCACGGATACAACGACGCACGCGGCCAGTAGTCCTTAGATTACTTGTCCGGCGCTAGTATATCAATGACAAAATTATGGCAATTCTAAGCAAAGTGAACTTGACCTTTACGATCAAGGTTATTTATAAATCAAGGTAATGCTTTGCTGATGTTGTCGTAAGTGTTGTTTTGCCAAAGTATGTTTGAAATCAAAGTTATGACAAATTTAAGCGAATTGACTTGACTTTCATAGTCAATGTCATTTTACGTCACATTTTTAGGCTATCGTTTAATTTATTCAACATTTTGGTATTGTCACAAGTGTAAATTAAAAGTAGCAGGTTATTATAATGTAAGAAACATTGAAGTTGAAAATCGTCGGGTTTTTTGTCAAGCCCGTATAGATAACAAAATCATTAGAATTTTAGCACAATCCTGTTATACAATTTATTGCTCATTCTTCTTATATTTACTTTTAAAAGCCAGCTGACAGACTGTATGCTATAAAACAAATGAGAAGTACATGTACGTAGACTGAAGTGTTTATTTTAGCTTCGACAACATGAAAATAACAGATGAACAGGAAGTATGATTCAGCAGAAATATATTGATCTGATGATCAATCGAAACTAAAAACCAATACAATATCTAATTCTAGTGAAATATGCAATATGTGCCAATAAAATGAGGAATAATTGTTGTGTGTTTGTTTATTGTTAACTAAAGGTTGCTACGTAATATACAGTATATTGCCAAGCAATAAAAAGTAGACTTTTTAATAATCGGATAAAAAATTCTAAATACTTGTGTTAGGAAGTTTTGTCACTATTTGTCATGAATCTAGATTACACATTTTCGTCTATAACTACATTGGTTAAGCTCCGGTCTTGTGTATATGCTTTCATGAATAGTTAAATCTGCTTGTTTATGTCCCAACACTTTGGGAGAAACAAGTGTATGTTCATTAATTTATTATTGAATTTATTCAATCATTCCAATGTTTTCTATCAAAGTTTATTACTCTATAGATGTAGTATTAGTAGTTGATAGCAATGCGGATCTCTTACGGTGACTAGTGAAACGATCTTATAATGAAATGTACTCTATTGAAATTTGTGGGGGAAAAAAAGAAAATTGTGAAATTTCATCAAATATCACAGTGTAATTGCATTGTCAGTGCCACAAACATTGCACAGAAGTGTTTTATTTCGGCTCCATATTGCACATACATATATAAAGATCTTGCTTACATTTTTTATGACAGAGTAAACAGAAAACAAATACATTATGAGTATAGTTAAATATAAAATGAAATCAATGAGTATTACATAAAGCAGGTATATATACCTTCATAAAGATATCTCTTAAGTAGAGGGAAGAAACAATGACAAATGGAAGCCTGATAAATTGGGAGTGTTAATTTATATTAAATATTAATAAAATAAGGTATTTATATTAAATATTAATAGGATAAACAAATTGCCATGTAATAGATTACAATTACATTGCTATCACAGCGATACATCGCGCGGACTGTCCATATTTCCATCTGCTTCTAAATTAAGAACTGTTCTACCATTGGCTTCACTCTCCAACGCATCGTACGGAGGGGGCTCCATATATGTGTATGGTTTGTCTTGCTCCTGTTGGACTTGAAACAATTTTCTTTGTTTTTCAAAAAGTTTTGCTTGTTCTTCTTGTAATTTCTGCTGTTCTCTTTGAAGTTTTTGCTGTTCTTTCAACAATATTTGCTGCTTATTTTCGACGTCCTCAGTTTCATGGACAGGTTTCACATAAAATATGTCGTCTGCTTCATTTTGATCAACCGGAAGCGGAACTGTAGTCCGACGGATTTTTTCCATTTGACCTAATAGCTGCTTCCGATCTTCTACTGACATTCTAGTTCCAAAGCTTGAAAGACTTTCATCTCCTGAGAAAGAGTGATCAAGATCATCTCCAACAGATTTTGATCGTATTCTTTTATCTGTTTTTAATTCAATACTTGCTTTGACACGGTTTGTTTTACCTGGTGAAATAAAACGCTTCTTTTTCTTGCGGCTTTTTTGGTTGTCTTTTGATTCTGAATCAAGAGTATATAGAAAATACTTGTCCTTCAATTTCTATCGGTTTTATCCCAGCTGCTTAAGATTGATTGGTTGTGATTTTTGACCGTCTGTGCGTCTTCCTGTGTGCCATTGCTGATATTTCAATGGTTGTTAAAACATGTCCTCCTTTTATTTTGTACCTCTGATAGACCGGATTCTGTCTGATTTTCTGGTGTTGTTTGCTGACTGCGAGAACTGTCCGATTGTTGCAAAGATTTTTCTGTGGTACGGATACTAAAACTAAAGTGGGTATTGAGTTTAATTGATGCATCTGCTGCTAGTTCTGATTCTATTAAGTGAGATCTCTTTGCAAGAATAATAGTTGCTAAAGTTGATACACAATGTTCTAAAATAAGTAAAATCGCCATGATTCTGTTTGACACGTGATTTTTGTCGTAGTAACACATCTGGCTCTCAATGCACAATCCATTGACCACAGTGAACACCACACCCATTACGTTGAATAAAACGAACACGGAGCATAAAATGGAGTAGATACGTACCTGTAAAATTAACATGAAAACTAATCAGTCATCTTTATTAAATTAAACTGAAGTCTCATGAAATATTAACATGTTCAATAAAGGGGCATAATTTTGATGTGAACTGCCTGTTTTAAAGCCATATAACTTTGACGAACAGTTAAACTTTGCAGATCTATAAAGAAGGTAATCACTAGAGAATAAATAAAATTTTAGGCCAATAGTTTAATTGTGAATACATTTTAAGCCTTGGGAAATTCTTAGTTAGGACACATTGCTCTGCTAGTACGTATACCTGCACATGTCCTTTATATAGCCTAGGTGGTGCATAGTAAAAAGTAGTATCAGACGGACAATAGCAAAGCTAAATTCGAGACTTTCAAAATTCTTTTATGGTACTCTTAACTTTAATATGCAAACTATGGAAAACCGTAATCTGTCTATTGATATTTAAGAGATAACGATAAATAGCATGATTTTTTTTCGTCAAGATTGCACGAACGTTATAATAATTATATATGATACACAAGTCACAAAATAACATGATCATTTAAGTAGACAATAAAACATACTGTAGATGACGTCCAAAAAGAGAGACCCGGCGTTCCATAGCACATGTTTAAGGGTATCTTTATGTATAAGACATTAAAGAGAGAGAAATAACAAATCAATCTACCAACACAACATAGTTGATCATACAGTTAGTTATGATTGATAACAATTTAAATAATGGAATTAATTAGCAAATGGCTTGTTATAAAGTAACATGTACATTGTAGTCATACACTTTTCGCTTTATTTTAAATCTTTACTAAAAATGACATTACCGAAACAATAGCTGTTGCTGACTCCACTTCTCTCACCTGACAGGTAATATATACACACCTGCACACCACAGCCGAAACAATATTGCTGAAAAATACAGTTCATATATATATACAGCTGGTTAAAAATTAATCAATAACAAACTTTTTATCATACAAACTTTTTGATAAGGGTATTTTTGTCGAGTATTCGGCGATATTTATTTTTATTAAAATGCAATAAATGAAAATACAACCCTGCAACAATGAGTAGCATTAAATATACATTCGTTTATTCATGCAATAAAAACCCTTCTTCTTCGGATTGTTTTTTTTTTTAAAGAAAAAAAAAGATTATCTTTGACGTAAAAAAGAAGTTATAAAAGGGAAATTGGCATCAGAAACGCACATCAAGTCAAGTCCTTGCGTAATTTGTGATAAAAAAATATAAATTATTTCTTTCAAAAACATATGTAATATATATTATTATGTACCAAACTACTATACTGTTTCAAGCCAGCTAAAAATAGACTTGTTCACGCATTTAAAAAAGTATATAAATGTAACACACCTTATGGGTTAATTCAGTAAGAAATGTTATATATGCTTTACCCATAGGCTCCCGGCTATAAAAGCACTAAAGAAATAAGGCACTTTGCGTCTCCGTTTGATCCGTTAGAGAGAATTATAGATGTCACCCCTGTCCCTAACATACATACCGCAATAACAATATGATAATACTGTGGCATTTCGGAAAAATCTGCTTGAGTCATTTACCAAACGGTAAAAGGAACCTGAAAATATTGTAAAATAAAGTTAGGTTCATAGTGAAAGATTGCCCTTGTCAATCAAAAGTACGAAATCTCTTCTCAAAACGTTCAAAACGACGGTGCGTCTTGTTATAACCATGGCAGGAGATCTGGCGCTAGTCGTAA